ACGAGCACTGCCAGGAGCAAGCCTGAGCACCACAGGTATGGTCTGAAAACCAAAACGCAAACCAGCGAGTTCAGGGTTGGGTCCGAGGATTCCGAACAGAGCCGGGGTCCGGGGTGCCAGGTGGTCTAAGGTGGAACCCACGGCCCTCTCAGCCCTTAGTGTGGCTTCCAGCCTTTCTACTCCAATGTTAGTCTTCATTCCAGGGGGTCTTCCAGCGATGCTCAGGGGTTACTCCTGGTGGTGCTCAGTGGAACCATACAGTGCCAGGCATTGAACTGGCATCAGCCACATGTAGGCCAGTGCCCCGGGCCCTGTCCTCGCTCTCTGGCCCTGGCTGTCTTTCATGTGGTGTCGGGTATGAAACCTGGGACCGCCCTCCCACAGAACTGCAGCCCCAGACTGGCAAAAGCAGAATTTTTATTTGTTTATTGATTTGGTTTGGGGGCCACACCCAGCAGTGCTTAGGGCTTACAGCTGGCTCTGTGATCAGGGATCACTCTTGGCAGTGCTCAGGGGACCCTATGCCAGGGAAGGATGTGTGCAAGGCAAGCGCCCTACCCACTGTACTATCTCTCTGGACCCAGAAGTAGAAATTTGAATGACATTAGGACAAAAACTCCAGTGACAAGGGAAAGAGACAGCCCTGTGAGGTGGTCCTGGGTGTCAGGAGAGGAGGGGGCACTTCCTTTTTTGTTGTTTTTGGGCCAAACCTGGCAATTCTCAGAGGTTAGTCCTGGCTCTGAACTCAGGGGTTACTCCTGGTGGTGCTCAGGGGACCATGTGGGGTGCTGGGGATTGAATCCAGGTTGACCGCGCGCAGGGCAAATGCCCTACCCACCAGGCTATCTCTCCGACCCTGGAACTTCTTATTTCTTCTGTGGCCTGCTTAACTCCCACCCTTCTCCCGGGATTATTTTCACCATCACCATAAAACACGGAGTGGACACAGGCATGTTTGTGGAGGGGATAGAAGAGTCTGTCCATCTTCCCTGGAGCACCAGGGGATGGGCCCTTTCTAACTTCCATAAACAGAACATGAGCCTGGGATGCCCTGAGCTGTCCTATTAGAATCCCACCTCGGTGTACAAACTTCCCTGGAGGTTCTCAGGTGCCCTCTGAGCACTGACCCGTATGGCTCACACTGTTAGAGCAGATATCACAGGAGACACCCCCCCCAAAAAAGAGAAATAAATAAAGAGTACAAAAAGCGGTGTTATAACTGGGTTCTGTGTTTCCCGTTTTCAGAGAGACCAGTTTCATAAATGAGAATGCAAAAGCAAAGGAACTTTATCGCTAGCTCGAGCTAGGGTCCAAGCCTCATTCAATGCTGTGGAGTCTCGACAAGGACCCCGACTCTAGTTCCAGGGAACATGATATGGCATATTGTTACATATACAACGTTGGCAGTTTTCCCAAGAATTGCGATGAAGCAGTCACAAGTCTGTGAGCTAATTGGTTGTGCCCACCTGCTGTGCCCAGAGATACCCTACTTATTATAGGACTGGTGAGAGACATCTAGGGAATTTCCAGCTTCAGCCAAGGACAGTCTCGGGGAATTCTTTGGGGGGGGAGGGGACAAAAAATTAGGCCCACTGCTTGTTTTGCTTAAGTGCAGCCTGTCATGGTGCCTGTGAGGTTCTTTCTTGGCCTCACAGCGGAATGACTTGAGAGAAGGGGACAGGCCTTCACCATCAGGGGGGTTCTTTGGACAAAGGTTCGGAGAACCGGGCCTGGTGTCTGGTACTTGTTTGAAACCCGCTGCCCTGCCCTGTTACTGCCCAGGTCTTCCTCTGCGCCCCAAAGCCCCCATCCAAGGCACAAGAATCAATTCATGACTGCGAAGATTGGGGGCACCTGCAGGTCTGAGCTCTGGGTCCTCTAATTGGGAAGACTCCTCCAAAGGAAGTCTCTTTCTCCCTCTCCCCCTCCTCCTCTCTCCTTCCCTCTCTCTCTTTCTGTCTCTCCCCCTCCCTATCTCTTTTTCCTTTCTCCCTCCCTCTCTCTCTCTCTTTCTGTCTCTCCCCATCTCCCTCCCTGTCCCCCTCCCCCCCAGCTCTGGACTTGCTTTCTGTGTGAGATTAAGGATGCCTCTGGCTTCCTGGAACATAAAACAAAGAGCCTGACCCAGAGGTCAGGGATGGGCTGACCAGGGCAGCAGGGTTGGGGCCAAACCTCAGGGTCCATCACTGCTGGGATGGCCCGGAGCAGCCTGTGACCCCAGCATCTGGAACTCCTGGCTTGGGGGTTCTGGCTGCCTGGCTGAAGCTCCAGGTCCTGGTGCTCTGCCCAGAGAGTGAGTGAGTGTGTGTGTGTGTGTATATATGTATGTGTATGTGGGGGGGGGATTATGTAGGACCCCTGCCATGTGACCTGTGAGCCTAATGGAACAGGTCTGCGACTCGACTCATGACCGACTCGACTCGACTCATCACACCTGTGAGTTGGAGCCCCCCACTTCTCCTGCGGCCTGTGGTTTGGGCCGCACCCCTGTCTTCTGGAGGGGTAGTCACTTTCCTTGTTTCTAGCTTGACCAGGGGTGAGTGTGGGTTCTGGGAACCAGCAGTGAAGCCAGCAGTGACAGAGCTTGGGGACCCTCCAGCCACTCCTGGAGACCCCCCCAAAAAGCGGGAGAAGCGGAGGGAGGTGAGATCGGCTCAGTTCGGACCCCACCTGGTGCCCACAGAGCTGTGCCCAGGGGGATTTGCAGGGAACAAACACTGTGAAAGTGGGGAGGCAGCTGCCAGATCCAACGCCCCTTCCAGAACAGGGCCCCTCAGGAGCACCAGCACCAAGAGCAGGAAACTCAGGCCGGGTAGGGTGGAGGTCAGCGCCCGTCCTCTCTGCCACACACACAGATGCTTTTCTGGTGGGTTTCCCCAGAGCCTCGCACACCCAACGCAGGTGCTCTTGCGCTAAGGGGCTGTCACGTGGGTCCAGTGGCGCCAGTGTCCCCCAGAGTCACAGCCTGACCAAGCTGCAGGCTACCAACAGGTTACACCAGCTGCGCCGAGGAGTGTGTTGTTGGGGATCAAACACCCTGAGCCCATCTCCCTACCCCACATACTTTTTGGTTTGTTCCAGCCCCATCAGCCATCAGGCAATGCTTAGGGGCTACTGAGTACTCCAAGGGTCACATCAGTGCTTGGGGGACCCTGCTGTGCCACCAGGGACTGAACCTGGCGTGTAGAGCATGTGCTCAGGCCCTTCGAGCCAGTGTGGCCCCTGTGAGACAATCTTAAGATGCACTGAAGATGCTGTTATTTGGGGAGGGGTGAGGAGAGGGTGGAGTGTGTGTGTCAGTGCATGGAGACCAATGCCAGATTCCAGGAATAGTTGACCTTGGGGTATCAACTGGGTGAACCCTCCAAGACTCCCCTGTCCACTTCAGCAGGGCCAGACCTTCCTCAGCCCTGTCCCCCCTGCCTGCAGCTTCATTGCTCACCACAGCACCCCTGGGTTAATCCCTAGCGCTGAAAGTGTCCTGCAAGTCCCACCTGGAGTGACTCCAGCCCAGAGCACCAAGTTAGGGACTGCCCTAAATCCAAGCAAAAAAAAAAAAAAACCCAGTCTGTGAGGGGAATCGTTCTTGGGGTTCACAGAGCAGAAATGGGAAGTAGGGAAGCCAAGCCTTCCTAGAGGACTTTGGAGGGGCGGGCACGGCTCCAAGGTGGCCCTCTCTGGTGCCTGCCAGCATCCAGAGCAGTGTGCTCAACTAGGAAAAGCTCTTGGCAGTGACCACACCTCCATCCCCTGCTGGGCACTCTCTGAACTGCCCGGGACGGTCTCCTCTGCTCCCATACTAGGCCCCGTGGCCAGCCCTGAACTCGTGGATTTGTGACCCTGACAGGCAGCCTAGGCAGCAGCAAGTAGGCAGGCAGAGTGGCTGGCAGCACCCCCTCTCTCCTTCACCCTCCGCATCCTCTCCTCCCTTTGGAAAGATGTGCCTTCCCGAAAGCTCTAGCTGCTGTTTTGAAAAAAAAAAAAAACCCAGAGTGAGTCTTGACAGACCAAGTCCTCAGTTATGGGGACAGGCAATGCTCCCCCAAAACGTGCCCTCACCTCAGCACACCAGGGCTAGGATTAGCCCCTCTGCCAATGGTGAACCGGATCACCGAGAGAGAGTTGTGCTGGGCCAAAGATCACAAGCTCGGAAGCTCCCAGGCTGAGACTCAACCTGCCAGAGTCTGGTGCGATCTTACACCATTCCAGCCCCTCATCGAGCTGTTTCACTCAATGACTAAAGATTCCCCCACTTCAAAGTAATTATTCTGCAAATGATAGAAATTAAATTTTTGTTTTGTTTTTGAACTTCACGTAGCAGTGCTCAAGGCTTACTCCTGGCTCTGTGCTCAGGGACCACTCTTATGGGAGCTGGGGGACCATATAGGGTGCCCAGAATCAAACCGGGTAAGTCCCATGCAAGGCAAACTCCGTACCCACTGTTCTACCTGGCCCAGAATTCTGTTTTTAAAATATTTCAGGCTGGAGTGATAGTATAGCAGATAAGACACATGTCTTGCATGGGACCTGCCCAGTTTGATTGAGGGCAGCTCATATGGTTCCCCTGACCTGCCAAGAGTAAGCCCTGAGCACAGACCCAGGAGTAAGCCCTGACTGAGCACAAACCAAACAAAACAAAAATATTTCCCACGCCCAGACGAGTTAGAACACGTGCTTTTTTGCACTCCAGAGGCTGGGATCTAGTCTGCACATGATCCAGCAGCGTCACAGAGAGTGACCTCTGGGCACCAAGACAGAAGTAGCCTTCGAGTACCACCAGGTGTGACCCCCAAACAAAGGAAAATGCAAAACCATTCTCCTTGGGTAAATGTCGCTGAAAACCACGGGCCACCGCCGGCCTTGGCATCACACCCCAAGAGTGCGGCTCAGACGTTATCTTTGTCGAAGGCCCCAGGAGGTGGGATCTGGGGTCTGCCCCCGCCAGGGCCGGGTGGGCTGAGCCCGCGGGCGCTGACGGGTTGCGCTCTCGTCCCCCAGGCCCCCGCCACTGACGACGGCATGTGGCTGCCGCGCGTGTCCAGCACGGCGGTGACGGCGCTCCTGCTGGCGCAGACGGGCCTCCTGCTCTTCCTGGTGTCGCAGCCGCGCTCCCCCGTGCCCGTGGGCGGCCCGCGTCGCGTGCACGTGCTGGTGCTGTCGTCGTGGCGCTCGGGCTCGTCGTTCGTGGGCCAGCTCTTCAGCCAGCACCCCGACGTCTTCTACCTGATGGAGCCCGCGTGGCACGTGTGGGCCACCCTGCCGCAGGGCAGCGCGCCCGCGCTGCACATGGCCGTGCGCGACCTGGTGCGCTCCGTGTTCCTGTGCGACCTGGACGTGTTCGACGCCTACCTGCCGTGGCGCCGCAACCTGTCGGACCTGTTCCAGTGGGCCGTGAGCCGCGCGCTGTGCTCGCCGCCCGCCTGCAACGCCTTCCCGCGGGGGGCCCTGAGCAGCGAGGCCGTGTGCAAGCCGCTGTGCGCGCGGCAGCCGTTCGGCGGGGCGCAGGCCGCCTGCCGCTCCTACAGCCACGTGGTGCTCAAGGAGGTGCGATTCTTCAACCTGCAGGTGCTCTACCCGCTGCTCAGCGACCCCGCGCTCAACCTGCGCATCGTGCACCTGGTGCGCGACCCCCGCGCCGTGCTGCGCTCCCGCGAGCAGACGGCCAAGGCGCTGGCGCGCGACAACGGCATCGTGCTGGGCACCAACGGCACGTGGGTGGAGGCCGACCCGGGCCTGCGCGTGGTGCGCGAGGTGTGCCGCAGCCACGTGCGCATCGCCGAGGCGGCCACGCACAAGCCGCCGCCCTTCCTGCGCGGCCGCTACCGCCTGGTGCGCTTCGAGGACCTGGCGCGGGCCCCGCTGCCCGAGATCCGGGCGCTCTACGCCTTCGCCGGCCTCAGCCTCACGCCGCAGCTCGAGACCTGGATCGACAACATCACGCACGGCGCGGGGCCCGGCGCGCGCCACGACGCCTTCAAGACCACGTCCCGGGACGCGCTCAACGTCTCGCAGGCCTGGCGCCACGCGCTGCCCTTCGCCAAGATCCGCCGCGTGCAGGAACTGTGCGCCGGGGCGCTGCAGCTGCTGGGCTACCGGCCTGTGTTCTCCGAGGAGGAGCAGCGCAACCTCGCCCTGGACCTGCTGGTTCCCCGGGGCCCCAGCAGTTTCAGCTGGGCGTCCTCCACCGACCCCGGGCCCTAGCGAGGTCCTGGGGGTCCTCCGGGCTCGCCTGGCCCGGGAACTTGGTGTATGGTAGGGCGGGGAGGGAGCTGGGATTCCCGGGGTGCGGGTCACTCCTGGAGGGGCCTGGAGGGAGGGGACCCCCAACGGGGGCGGGTTGGGGCTCAAGGCCCCGGCCCAGGCGCCTTGTTCCGTTTTTTGACCTTGATCTGAGCCCTCTTGCCTCTTTCCTCCAAAAGTTTTTTGCGTTTCCTCTGATGTGGGCCCACATCTCCAGGAGCATCGCACTCAGATCTCCGCTTCTGGGCGTGGAGAAGGCCTTGGGGGACAGCATCTGCTCACCGGTGCTCTTTCCTCTCACTGGTTCCTCGAGAGCGGGGGCCCAGCCTGGCCTGGGGCTCCAGAGCCCCCGAATCTGCACCTCCCCGTCAAAGCTGCTTGCATTTACACCCACTCGTATCTTCATCAAGAAATTGGACAGCACCCTCGGGAGATGGTACAAGGGCTAGAGCGTGTGTTTAGCAGTGCTCCGCGTGTGTGCGGCCAGGGTTTGATCCCCAGCACCTCTTGGGGGGAAAAATTAAGCCAGACAATGGGGGTGGGGGTGTGCATGTCGCTCTGCGCGGGTGCCTCATGTCCTGGGTGAGATTCCCCTCCCACCCTTCCCCAAATCAAACCAAATGCCTTCTATCTTGTGCTCCCCCCCCCCCATTGGCTTCTCGCCACCACCACCCCCTCCCAGGAAGCTCCACCCACCTGCATACCTGCCCAGGTAGGGCGAACTACGATGTGTCCACAGCAAATATCCTTCTCTACGAATAAACATGATCTTTTGCCTAGGCGGCACAGCCAAGAGTAGGGCAAGAGAATGCAATGCGCTGGGTGCATACTTTGCGCTGGGGGAGGCCTGGGTTGGATTCCCAGCATGGCACGGACTCCTGAGCACTGCTGGGTGTGGTCCCCAAACAAAAAAACAAGAGCTTACAGCCTGTAGAGTTTGACAAGTAAAAACAAGCAAAGGGGCTTGTCTAGGTCACCGGATGAAGAGGGTTTGGGCTTGGGTCACAGAGGGAGTATTGGGCTTCTAGAAAGGGCTTGTGCCTTGGGCATTTAAAGAGTTTGATTTTCCCACTAATTTGCTTTACAAAGAAAGAGAAAGCGGGAGGGGGGGGATAGAGGCAGCTACAGGATAAGGAAATGGGGAGCTCTGGGTGAAATTGATCTGCCTCCTGGACAGCAAGCCTGCAAGCCAGATGGAGGCCGAGGTTAGCAGCCCCTGCGTGTTTGGGGAAGAGTGTAACTGGATCAGGCTCCCCAGGAGTGCTCAGAGGAAAGGCCCAGCGGGGAGGCTCTGTCTTGCCTTGGTCCCTGCCCTCTGAGCCCCTGGAGGGCGCACAGAGTTTTGGCTGTTGGCCAGGTGGTGTACCCGCACCAGGTCGCTGAGGCGAGTAGGGACTGGCGTAGGTCTCCAGAACGGCTTGTGCCAGTTACTGGGACGCTGGAGCAGCGCCCCCTAGCGCTCAGTCGTTAGGAGGGATGGGCGGGGGTCTTCGCCAGTGGGGGGGCGCCAGCTCGCTGGGACCTGCACCTGGACCAAGGCGGGCTCCCTGGCATGTTTCACTGCTGTTCTTGCAGGAAGTGAAAGAAGAGGAATGTGCTGCAGCTTCCAGCCCATCACACCTCCATCTGGGGGCCAGGAAGCTGGCTCCAAGGGATGGAACGTGTGTATGCAGGGGCCTGGATCTCATCTCTGATAACACATGGTTCTCCAAGCACTGAGCCAGGAGTCCCCCTCTGAGCAACGACATGGTGTGGTCCCCAAGCCCGAAACAAAAACACAAACATCCTGGATCCATGAATGGGAATTCTGTGGCTACACAAGGGGCCCTGGACGAGCACTCGAACTCGCTCCTGTGTCTTGGTCACTTAGGTGCTCACAAGTAAACTAAATTGGGACAAGCCAGCTCATTGCCCAGATCACAAAGTGAATCTCGGGGTGTCGGGGAGCAGGGCTGGCACTGGGCCGCAAACCGTCAAGAAGGCTGAGCAGGCACCAGGGGCTGAGAACCAGGAGATGCAGATCTCTCCAGGGCTTCAGGAAACCGTTCCCAAGGAGTCTCAGCTCAGACTCATTGTGGCATACCCCCTGCAAGTCTTCTCTGCTGGGGTGGGTCACAGGCTGTGTTGATGGCCATGACACTCAACTCCATATCTCACCCAACTCCAAAGGGGCCAGGTTGGGGCTACTGGTTCCCACCTTTGCTCCTGAGTCCTTTGGGTTCCAGGCAGGCATTGGGCCAACTCAGGTCAGGTTTCAGGACAAAAGCAAAACCTGACGGTGGCCTGAAGCTGGGCCCTGTGGCCTGGTGGATGGCTTGAGCCGGCTCAGGGAGAATCCCACCTGTCTGAAGCTGGTCCCACGTACCTCTTCACGCTCTGAAGGTGTGACCAGGTCAGGAAAGCCCTGACTCTAGGGTCTCCTAACTCTGAAATGGGGGCAGAGTTAACAGGTTGGATGGTGGATGACTGTATTCATGGTCCCACTGAAAAGCGGGCATAGTCCTCGCTCTTGTAGGGTGAATGGATTCCAAAAAATCTGCCCCACAGATATACAGGCAGCCATGGCTGTGAGCTGTGCGATAGGAAACAGACAGAGGGACAGGGCGATCTCCTTGTGTATGGAGAATCAGGGAAACCGCTGGTTTGAGTAAACGAGGGCTAGATCAGAGATAATCAGGCACTAATGAGGAACAAGGGCATCAGGGCAGAGAGGTAGCACAGCGGGGTGGGTGCTTCCCTAGCATGCGGCAGACCCGGGTTCAGTCCCACATGGTCCCCCAAGCACTGCCAGGAGTGAGTGCTGAGCAGTACTAGATGTGGCTCAACATCAGAAGGAGGAAGAAGAAGAACAAGAGGCTGGGGCGGGGGCTCGCTTTAGACTCCCCGTGGCTGTTCTTGGGAGAAGCTGCCCTGACTAGGAAGGGAAAGCCTCCTCGGAACATAGGGTCTGGCATGGGAGACGCCCCCAGGCAGTGACTGAGTTTGCCGTACCATTCCTAGAACTGCTGGTCAGACTTAAAGGGGCACTGAAGACCCCGGAGGTAGCACAGTGGGCAAGCCACTTGCCTCGCGTGCAGCTGATCTGCGTTTCATCCCTGGCACCCGGTATGGTCCCCGAGCCCTGCCAGGAAGAATCCCTGGGCACAGAGCCAGGAATCAGTCCTGAACACCTCCGAGTATAGCCCCCACACAAAACAAAAATAAAGGTGCACAGGGGCTGGATTGATAGCAGAGCGGATATGGCATTTGCCTTGCATGCGGCCGACCCGTATTCGATTCCCAGCATCCCGTATGGTTCCCTGAGCAGGGCCAGGAATAATTCCTGAGTGCATGAACCAGGAGTAATCCCTGTGCATTGCTGGGTGTGATCCAAAACAGAAAATAAAGGTTCACAAAATAAATTATGCTCAAAGAAAAGTACTGACTTAGACTGGCAAAGTGCTCAGAATGCCCTTGCCCCTTCTGTGACTGGGCACCCCCACCCTGCATGGGCTAAAGCATCAGTATCACTCCCCACCCTGAAGGGGTATTGGGTGGACACACACACACACACACACACACACACACACGCTCTCAAACCTCAAAGAACATGAAAGAAATTAGAACATGAATTAGAACATGAAATGAAGAAACCCAATCTGATAAGGCTACATAAGTATATAAGTATGAAAACATAAGTATGTTTTCAACTTTAGGACATTCTGAAAAGGCCAAACTATGTTTTGTTTGGTGGCCATATCTAGCAGTGCTCAGGGGTGTCACTCCTGTTTGGGGGACCATGTGGTGACAGGGCTCAAACCTAGACCTCCTGCATGCAAAGCCTGTTGTATTCTCTCTTCAGCCCAAAACAAAATACAAAGTGGAAAGATGACTGGTTGCCAGAGGCAGGTCACAGGCCAGAGTAGCGGGTTGCAGGTTTGCAGGTCAGGCAATACAAAGTCACAGTGACATGTGTTTGTACAAAGCGTGCCACTCTGAGTCACCGCTGCGGGCTCTGGGTGACTGATGCAGGAGACGGTTGCCTCCTCGTGGGTAAAAATGTAAAGAACCTTTCTGAGGCAGGATGCTGAGAATGGAAGGGGCAGGGGTTTCCTACCTCCTCTATTTTAAGTTTGAAATTTCTCCAAAAAATAAAGTCTTTTAAAAAATCAAGAAAAGAGCTGGCAAGATGCTCCAAGAGCTGGTGTATGTGGGGGTCCCGAGTTCCATCCCACACAAAGCATGATACCCAGACACTATTCCCCAACAGTGACCCCCAAAATTACAACAGGGCCTGGGAGGTAGCTCAAAGGGCTGGAGCATACGCCTTGTATACAGGACACCTGGGTTTGATCCCTATCCTCGGAGCAGGGCTGGGAGTGACCCTGAGCACTGAGCCAGGAGTAGCATCTCTCCTCCAGTGCTGCCAAGATGATCTAAAAATAAAGGAAACTTCTTAATAACCTCAGGGGGATGTGAGATGCTGCAGACACAGACTGATTAACTGGCCACCAGAGCCTGAGGACTTTACATTTCCCTCACTGGCCAGGTCCTCCAGCCAACTGATCTGGTTTGCCCTGCAGTTCTTGTGCCATCCACTTCTTCCCACCTTCATTCATTCAACAAACATGGTGGATTGAGCACCAACGAAGCACCAGGCAATTTTAGATCCAGGAAATGCTGTGGAAAGTTTTGCCCTTTCAGAACTCTCATTCTGGTGGTGAGTAGACATGATTTATCCATTTCATAAAGAATTATATAGGAAATTAGAAAGGTCAAAGGGCAAAACTAGGGACAGATCATAGAGGTGAGGAATGTAGGGGTGTGGGGGTTGTCAGGGAACGTGTCATTGAGAAAGTGGCATTAGAACAGTCATTTTTGGGGGGGCCTATGGACATACTTGATGGTGCTCAGGGGTTGTGCTCTGGTGGTGCTATGGTAAAGGGGACTTGAACCCAGGCCTCCTGTATGCAAAGCAAGTTGAGCCTGTCCAGCCGTCTCTTCAGCCCTGAGCGAAGTCTTAAAGGAGGTGAGGGCGGTAATTATGGGGTGAGCGCCTTAGGAGAAGTTTGTGGAGGAGGAGACATGTGAAACAGCAATCGTGGAAAAGAACATGTCTCTGGCACATTGGAAGAACCGTCAGTGCAGTGGCCCCCAGCAGAGTTGGGAGCTGAGACAGACGGTGAGAGCAAGGCCGTGACATCAGATAGGGCCGGATAGGTCTTGCTGAGGACTCAGCCTTGGCATGAACTTGGGGTCACTTGCTCTAGCCCGCTTCTTCATTGAATGCTTAAGAATAAGCATGTTGGGAATGAGAGGTAGTTTTTTCTCTCACATTGCAAACCATACCGTAATCTTATTCACCCATTCTTGTGGATGGACCCTTGGTAGGTTTTAGGTTACTTGCAGTTAAAGTGCTGATGGGAACGATCTTGGAACGTCTCCTGCTACACTTTACAGGTTATTCACGGGTGGGGGGGGGGGGGTAAAATTGCTGGTGCTTGCATACCTTCATTTAACACTTTTCCCAAGATGGTAATGTCTTTTTTTTAAATTTAGTTTTTATTTTTATTTTAATGAATCACTGTGAGATACAGTGAAAGACTTACAAACTTGCATGATTAGGTTTTGGTCACACAATGTTCGAGTACCCACCCTCCACCTGTGCTCATTCTCCATCACCGATGTTTCCAGTATCCCTCCCGCCCCCCTCCCCTTCCCCTCCACCTCTGTGGCAAGCACATTTCCTCTTACTCTCTCTCTACTTCTCAGTGTTATGGTTTGCAATACAGGTACTAAGCAGTCATCATGTTTGGTCCATAGTCTACTTTCAGCACACATCTAGATGGTAATATCTTTTAAACATCTCAATACCTGTTGCTTTGGAACCTCACCAGTGCCTGGCATTCTCAGACTTCAAGCTTTTAGGCCATGGGGTGATTGGAAAATGATGTGTTATTGTGATTTCATTTTGTATTTCATGAATGAACATAAGACATTCTCGTACTTTTATTGGCCATTTGTATTTTCTCTTTTGTGAAGTATGTATTCTGGTCATTTATCTCTTGTTTTCTTATTGGTTTCTAGTTGTGCTTTATGTATTCTAGATACTACTCCTTTATGACTTATATGTATAGCAAATACCTTCTCCAAGTTTGTAGTTTATCTTTTTGCTTTGTTAACTCTTGAATGGCACACATTCCTAATTTAAACTGGAGAAATGTACCAATCCTTTTCTTTATGATCTTTTTTTTGTATCTAGTTTGAGGTCCTCTTTACTAACCTGAGACTATTGAGAATGTCCACTCTTGTTTTATAAAAGCTCTATAGCTCTGTATCTCACTATACGTGAAACAAGTTGAGAGAGGGACATATTTTTAAAATAACAATAAACTAGTTTTTGCTTGACTTATATTTGCTTCATAATTTTCTTGCATGTTTGTGGTTTTATGACTCATTTTTGTATTGACTTTAATCGATTTTCCCTCAATGAGAAAATAAATAACTACCTTCTTTATCCTGTCATGAATGTTTGGCTTTCCAGGGGTTTGAGCGATGGTACAGCAGATAGGGCGTTTGCTTTGCATGTGGCCAACCCTAGTTATATCCCCAGTACCCTCATATGGTTCCCTGAGCCTTCCAGGAGTGATCCCTGAGCATAGAATCAAGAGTAAGCCCTAAGCACAGTCAGGTGTGTCCAAAAACCAAACAAACAAACAAAAAATTGATTAACTTTTGTACTTCTGGGGCCCAAAAAGATAGTACAGCAGGTAAGATGCTTGCCTTGCATAGAGCCAACCTGGATTCTATCCCAAACACCCATGTAGTACCCAGGCTCTGTCAGGAGTGATCACTGAGTACAGAGCCAGGAGTAATCCCTGAGCATCAGCAGCTATGACCCTCCACAAACTGAAAAAAATTTTTTTGCTTTTTTGGGTCACACCCGGTGATGCACAGGGGTTACTCCTGGCTCTGCACTCAGGAATCAATCCTGGTGGTGCTCAGGGGACCATATGGGATGGTGTCGAACATGGGTTGCCGCGTGCAAGGCAAACGCCCTCCACGCTGTGCTAATCGCTCCAGCCCCCGAAAAAATTTTTTTCAGACGTCCTAACCATTTTCTCTATAGTATGAGACCAATTTCATTATTCTTCCTGAGGACACTTTTCAAAAACAACCATTTCTTGCATTGCATATCTTTATTTTCTTTAATTTTTTTATCTTTCTGTTATTACTCAAGCTTCATCGGCGCAAATACTTAGCTTTCTCAGAAAGCACACCTGAAACATACCTTTGTGGGGTGCCAGGGATGCATCCTCGGACCTCACCGGTGCAAAGCATGCGCTGGGACCTGGAGGTCCTCCCAGCGATTCTTAGTTCAGCCAAGAGCCTTGGAATGTGACGCTACCTGGGATCACCCCCTTGCTCTGCTGATGCTGCGTGGTCACGTGGGTCACGTTGGGGTGGCCCAGGTGGTGCGGGGGTGGAGCAGGCAGCCTGCGGGCAAGGCAAGCGCCTTATCCCTATGTCCTTCTCTCCAGCCCATGACTTTCTTACTTACCTCCTAGGGGGCAGGGGTACCTAAGTGATGCTCAGGAGGTCTAGGGGACCCGCTGGTCGTTCTCCGCTGACTATGCTCAGGGTTCAATGCAAGGGCCAGTGATGTCAGGATACCCTGGCGGTGCTGCTGGCCTTGGAGCTGGGTGATGCTCCATTCCTGCCTCTGATCAAAGACCAGGGGACTGGAGCAATAGCACAGCGGGTAGGGCGTTTGCCTTGCACGCGGCTGAACCCGGGTTCGATTCACAGCATCCCATATTCTCATATGGTCCCCCCCTGAGCACCGCCAGGAGTAATTCCTGAGTGCAGAGCCAGGAATAACCTCTGTGCATCGCCGGGTGTGACCCAAAGAGAAAAAGAGAGAGCAGGTAAGAGAGAGAGAGAGAGACAGAGACAGAGACAGAGAGACAGAGAGAGACAGAGAGACAGAGAGACAGAGACCAGTAGTCGGGGGAGCGCATGCAGTTCCAGCGCTGTCTTCCAGGTGGCGCTGCAGAGAAGCGCCCACGGACACAGAAGAGCGAGTGGGCCCCACTAGGCGGCGCAGCGCGTGGGAGCCGGGCCTCGGCGGGCCTTACGCAACGTCGGGGGCGGCCGCGGCCGTCGCCCCGCCCCCTGCCCGCCGCGGCGCCCCGCGATTGGCCGGGGGAGCCGTCACTTGGCAGCGGCGTCGGGGTGGGAGGAAGAGGGCCGTGGCCGAAGGTGAGCGGCCGCGACGTGGACGGCGCGGCGGAGCCGAGCGGCCGTGGCCGCGCCCGGGCGGTGGATGGCGGCGGGATGGAGCTCGAGGGGAGCGGCGGCGGCGGCGGGTCGGCCGGGCTCCTGCAGCAGATCCTCAGCCTGAAGCTCGTGCCGCGGGTGGAAAACGGGACCCTGTGCCCCAACTCCACCGCGCTCTGCGCCTTCCCAGGTACCGGCCCGGGCCGCGCCCGCCCCTGCCCCGCCGGGCTGGCCGCTGCCCCGATCGGCGAGGCGTGCGTGGCCGGCACCCCGCTTCTGATGCTCTTGGGCTGGGGGCCGGGATGGACCCCCAGCCCCCACCCCAAACCCCCGGCCGGGCGCCGGAGCCCGCGGTCCCTCCGTGCCAGGGGCGGGCTGTCGCGCCGGTCCCTGCTGGGCGCGTGCCCGATCGCGGACCCCCCACCCCCCGACCCCGGCCCCCGGCCCCCAGGCCCCGCTGCCGCCCCCGCTCCCCGCGGGAGGATTCGCTTTTGCCGACCTGTTGCTGCCTGCCCCGAGCGGTGCGGGACCCGGGCTCGGCTGCCCGCTCCCGGGACCCTGCGAGCGGCGAGGAGGCGGCACCTAGGCGTGGAGCGGGGGCGCACGGTGATCGGGGGGTGGGGGTGGGGGTCCGGAATGAGCAGAAGCAGCTGCACGGCCGGCCTGGCCCGGTGCACCGGGTTGAGCGCGGCGTGATTGAGTGCGGGCCGGGCGCGACCCCAGCGCGCGCGGGTCTGGGTGTTCCCCTCCCATCCCCCCCGCTGCACCTTGAACCCGTGGCCGCCGCCCCGCCCTCACCTCCTCACCTACCTGGGGCTCCCCGCGACAGCTTGGCGGAAGGGCTGAGGACATAAAGGCTAGGTGCGGGGAGGGGCAGGTGTTGGCTCCCGACGCGCCTGACGTTCTTTGCAAAGGACCCGCTCTGGACAGTGATTTTTGGTTCTGGAGACACACAAAAAACAAACAAACAAACAAAACCCCGAAGTGTTCTTGCAGTCTGGGGGCACGTGCTGAACCGACTTGATGACTTCTTGTTCCCTTGCAACTCTCCCCACCCCAGTTTGGAAAAATTTCAAACCTGAAAAACCGGAATATTAGTATGACAAAGACTCGTGTGTCCTTAGAGTCAGTGCTAATTTTGATTCTTAGCTAAGCCTTATCGCCATGTGTATCTCTTAATAACTATGTAAATGTATAGAGAACTGAGTACAGGTATGTACATAAACATACCTGTGTATTTGTGCATGCACAGGGCATTTTTTCCCCCTTTCTGCAGAGCCCTTTGAAAGAAATTTGTAGAAGTGATAGTGCTAGGTGCTTAATAGTAGTAAGCATTTTTCAGTCATAGCTAAAAAACCAGGTCACACCAATAATTTTATCTTGACGGGGTATCCTCTAATAAGTTTGCCTTATTTAGCTCTGGAACTGTTTATCTGGTGGTGATTCAACAACCAAAAAAAAAAAAAGGCAATAAAAAGACAAAACCGAGACCCATATATAAGGAGACAAATGCACGGATGGTCTAAGTTTCAGGGTTGTCTAGGTAGCGTCAGCGGTCTCAGGCTACTCATATGTTCGGTGCAGTGTGGCTCCCCACCCAGGCTCCTCCGAGTCAGTGGTGTTTCAGTTCCCAGAGGCCTTCAGCACTGTGAGTAAGAACATCCAACAGATACATGAAGAGCGGGGCCAATCAGTAGACACCCTTTAAGTATGCCGTCTGGACACGGTTTCCCCATGCTGCTGCTCATCAGAATGACCCCAAACCATTTATACTGTTCTTAGGTGGGCTGGAGCGATAGCACAGCGGGTAGGGCGTTTGCCTTGCACGAGGCCCACCTGGCCGACCTGGGTTTGATTCCTCTGCCCCTCTTGGAGAACCCAGCAAGCTACCAAGAGTATCTCGCCCGCACAGCAAAGCCTCCCAAGCTATCAGTGACGTATTCGATATGCCAAAAACCGTAACAAGTCTCGCAATTTGTTGTGAGACGTTACTGGGCCCACTCGAGCAAATCGATGAACAACGGGAGGACAGTGCTACAGTGATTTAGATTTCCCTAGTTGACAATTGTCTACCGCTTTTTTTTCCTTTTAGAAAACAATTTCAGGGTCTAATCAAATAACCTGCATTGCATTTCGTTGTCAAATCTTTAGTCTTATTTATTCTCAGACATCATTTCTTCTCCAATATTGCTTCTTTTTCTTGAGCTGGTGAACTAGTACGGAGGTTAAGATGAGCTAGTACAGGGGTTAAGGTGCCTGCCTGGCACACAGCCAATTTGATCCCAGTACTGCATATGGTCCCCAAGAATCTCCAGAAGTGGCCCCTGAGAACAGAGCCAGGAGTGAGCCCTGAGCACCGCCAGGTGTGGCCCCCAAACCAAATTAAAAGAACAAAAATCATTGCTTCATTTTCTTGAGGTTTTTGAAGATTCTGAGCTAATTTTTCCATACACTGCCCCACAATCTAAGTTGAGCTGGTGTTTCCTTCATGATTAGATCTGAGTAAATGTATCTGAACAGAACGCTCCCTCTGCAGGTTATGTCCGTGGGCCAGTGTGTCTCCGCAGGGGAGGTCTCAGAGTGGCTTGTCCCTTAAGGCTCTTGCTCAGCCAGCCAGTCAGCCCAGTGGCTGTTTATCTGATCTCCCCTCTCCAAAGGACTGTGACCCTAAAGCAAGTAAGAAGTCACAAGTGTTGATCTTTGTTAGTTCGTTTGTTTTTGAGCCACACCTGGCAATGCTCAGGGGTTACTCTTGGCTCTACATTTGCCAATTCCTTGGCAGTTACCAGGAATTACTCTTGGTAGTGTTTGTATTATTGCTCTGACCCCACGGGGTGGTCTTTTGTGCAGATATTTTGTTCTTTCTGGCTTTTGGTTGTCTCATCTGTTTCTCAGACTTTAAGGCCTCTCAAGCACTGGTTTATAAACCTGGGGCAGGGGGTAGTTGATTATTCATTCAACAAGCATGAACTGGACGGAGGGTAGCTCTGGTGTGGGGGATAAGCCCCTGTGAGTGACACTTACTCTCCTGCTGTGTCCCATCAGTAATGGGGCGAGGGCAATCAAGCAGTGAGCCCCGTTCATTGTTCCGAATCTAGAATAGTTCTATTTTGTCTCCGTGGAAAAGGTTACCTGCACATTGTGCCAATACACTGTGGCCGAATCGTTGCGCTGAAATATCCTGTGGTTTATCAGGAGCAGGATGTTTGAATTGATTTTTTAAAAACCTGCGTTTGCGGATCAGGCATTTAAATGTTGGCCTAACCCTCTCTATTCCAAGTTGTTCAGATCTCTTTTGTGGGCGTCATCTTCATTTCTAATAACTCTGAATGTCAATAAAGGCAGTTTTAAAATGTGTATCCAGAATGACCTGAACTTTCTGTAGGTACGAATTTTATTACAATTCACGTCAAAGTGTTATCTTGGAGGCACAGCAAAGTGTTAACTCGGAGGTAGTTACCAAACCTCTATTGTTTTTGTTGTGCCACTTGTTGCTGGACTCGAGTTACCTGTTTATTCACTCCACATCCATTTGTTCAGTGTGTTGCAGACCCGTTATTTTATAGGCACCAAGTAAAGACGTGGTAATGAGCAGAAAAAAAAAAAAGGCAATTTCATTCCGGTGGGGAGGAGAAGTAAAATCAGCACGTGTGGAAAGGATTCATATATGACTGGTGGTGGGAGTGGTGGCGGTCATATGTGTGGGTGGGATGCTGTTCAGCTTCTGGTCACGAGGAAGCCCGAGTGCGCCTACTGGACAGGGGGAGATGAGGAATGAACCACACAAGCATTCTGGGCAAAGAGACAGCAATTTGCAGAAGAAACATAAAGGGTTCCAGCTGGGGGATGGGCCAGTGGCCACAGGGAGGAGTTGTAGCAGGCATGATGATATTGGGGGATTTGGAGCAGGTGAAGGATGAGCTGACTTTTTTTTTTTTTTACTGTGTACAAGTCAGGAGTTTTAGCATATTTGCAGAATTTGCAGCCAGCATCAATTCTAATATATTTTCATCATCTCAGCCAGAAACCTTGTACTCAAAAGCACGGATTGGCTTCGTGTGGCGAGTATAAGGGAGGCTGGACCCAGTCAGGGTCTGGCTAGGCGCACGCTTCTGCCATCCTTTGTGCCAGATGTGCTTACCAGCCCGGAAACTCTCTCAGCTCTGTACTTTGGGGATTTCTGAGGTGGCTTCCTCATGGAGGCATGGACCAGTTATTTGTATTTGGGGGAGGAGGGCCACGCTGAGCTTCAGGAGTTCTGCAGGGGTCACACCTCCCACTTGCAGAGAACACACTCAGACTGTAAAGCCGTCACCTGGCCCAGGGTCAGAAAGTAACACCACTGAGTTCCAGACCCTCTGGGGAGTTTAGGGTGGGCTTGAAAGCTTCAAGCTTACGCTCATAACGGTTCTCTCCAGGGACCAGCCTCACCCAAGAACCCCTAAGAGGTGCCGCAAAACAACAGAGACACCTGGAAATCTGAAGGGACTCAGTGCTGCGTCAGGAACAGGGGCCAGAGACTAACGGCGAAGACAGAGGACGGACCTGGGCCTCCCCTTGGCGAGGGTTTTAGGAGCGCTGTGTCAGGATTAGGCGGTTTCCTGAGATACCCGAACAGATGGTCCCTTAGAGCCAGGGGTGTTTGATGCGAGAGGGGCCTCTCCTGGCAGTGACACAGGTTGTCGATGGCTGACATCCCTGAGGCCCAGTATTGAGCTGCAATTCTCAGGAGGACTGACGTGGTTTTCCTTAGAACCCTGGCTTCAGAGGAACAACCTGTCCAGGTGGTGACAGGCAGGAGCGTGGAGCCGCTGAAGATGCTGAGGGCAGGCCCATGTCGGGGATGGGTTTGTCTTGAGGCCTTGCTTGGAAATTAGTATCTTTTATTATGTGTTGTCCCACTGTTACTGCAACATCAGCGGGTGATGCTAATGGGAACAAAGCGGAAAATAATGCATCCGCTCTGAAACAGTGACTAGGAAATACTGTGAGATATAGACAAAGACTTTTTGACATGGGGGCCAGCGTGATAGTATAGCCAGTAAGGCTCTCTTGCCTTACATGCAGCCAAGCCGGGTTCAATCCCCGACAGCCCATATTGCCCCCCGAGCACCATCCGGAGTGATTCCTGAGCACAGAGCCATCGAGTAAGCCCCAAGCACCGTAGGGTGTGGCCCAGATAATTTTCAAACATTAAGAAAAAAAAAAAAAGAAAAGATTTTGTTTGACGTGGTGTGAGCCAAGGACATGAAAAGATGATCAATACATGGCTATTAAATGGGTGGCAAATTAAAGTGCAATAAACTTCCACTTATCAAATAAATAAGTCATGAGGAGGTAATGTACGGAATGGGGGCCGTAATCAATAAGCGATGCATATTTGAAAGTAGCCAAGCAAGTAAATCTTAAAAGTTTCTCACAATAAAAAGCATTTTGTAAAATTTGCACGGTGATGGTGCCAGAGAGACAGCCCGGCAGGCGCAGGGTTCGCCTCACACACAGCTTACCCAGGGCGGATCCCTGCATGCCAGGACTAAGCTCTGAGCACCTTTGAGTGCTGCTGCTGAGACGCGAAAGCCCCTCCCCCCCGCCCCCCAAGTGGTGATGATACCACAGTGATATTACTGTGATGTTCGTTTTGCAATTACACAAATGCCAATTCATTACATTGTAACTGACACCAGTACAATGTTATCTTTTATATGTGACTTTTGAAAAATCAAGGTACAGTAGGCTAAAGGAAAACCACCGTACGCAACGTTTTATTGATTTGGGTATGCCTTGGTGATTTTAATCCTGTAAGTATCTCGAAGTGCTTTATATGCTGTCCTGCTCATCCAGTATAATCAAGCTGTTTTCTCCCGACTTAAAGTGGCGCTATAAGAAATACGCAGGCTTTGAAGTAGCTCCTGGGTACACTCAGGGTTACCTCTGGTTGCCCCTCAGCAGCTCAGTGGGGCGAAGGGCCCTTCTGGTCATTAGCAAAGTGGGCAGGTAGGTGGGTGGCCCAGCTGGCTCCGGGCAGGCGGAAACAAGTGCGTGCGTGCTGGTGTCTCTCCGGAGCTGGCTGGCGTCAGCAACAGACACTTATTTTGTTTCTTGCAGACCAGGAGGCAGAAGAGCAGAGTGTCGGCACGTCTGGTGTGGGAGGCGGGTGCCCTGGGCACCTTCTCGGTCCCACATGGCTGGGCATGGAATGCAAATGTGTTCTTCCTGGTTTTTTTTTTTTTTTTTTTTGCTTTTTGGGTCACACCCGGCGATGCACAGGGGTTACTCCTGGCTCTGCACTCAGGAGTTACTCCTGGCGGTGCTCAGGGGACCATATGGGATGCTGGGAATCGAACCCGGGTTGGCTGCGTGCAAGGCAAACGCCCTACCTGCTATGCTATCTATCTCTCCAGCCCCTCTCTTCCTGTTCTTGTTTCCTTTGGAATGGGGGTGGGGTGTGTTGGGGCCACACCTGGCTGTGCCCAGCGCTCACCCCTGCTCTGATGGTAGGGGATCGCTTTTGGCGGGGCCCAGGGGACGAGTTCTGGGGAGAGAACCGGTTTGGCTGCACTTAGACAAACGCCTTAAACCCCATCTGGACTCACTTTGTTGAAAGTCCTGAAAACTGGTGCATCTCTGTCAGCTGAAGTTCATCTGCCCTCCTGGTTCACGGCCTGGGTGCCTGCAGGTGTGGGAAGAAGCTGAGGGCAGAGACGGATTTGCATCCTATTTGTCTACTTCAGGGCAGGGACAGGTCTGGTGCGTCACAGGACTTCTGCCCTTGGGGATGATGTGGAGGTCCGAGGCTCCCAGTGACCCGAGCAGGGGTTGGGAGCTGTAGCTCGGCCTTGTGCCCCTGCGTGGGCTGCCCTTACCATGCTGGGCTGCACAGTGCTCCATTATACAGGAGAGAATTGCAGGGGCCACAGCACTCACCAACGCGCACTTCCTGGACACAGGCTGCCCAGGAGACAACAGGGCAGGTGTACTGGGCAGTGGAGCAGGAAGGAAAGGAGGCCACCTGGCTCCCAGACAGCCGACACCCAGAGGACAACCGGCCCTGTGTTTCTTTCTGTTTGGGCGGGGATGGGCGGACACCCAGTGATGCTCCGGGGTTACTCCTGGGGGGCTCGGGGGACCATATGGGATGCCAAAGATCAGACCCGGGTTGGCCATGTTCAAGACAAGCACCATCCCCACTGTGCCATTGCTCCTGGCCCCCGGCCTGGAATTTCTAAAGGACACTGCAGAGTGGAGAGGAAATTTTCCACTGGGTGTGTGTGTATGTGTGTATGCTCCTTTTCCACATACTATGTAAGTTTTTTTTTTTTTTTTTGCTTTTTGGGTCACACCTGGCGATGCACAGGGGTTACTCCTGGCTCTGTACTCAGAGGTTACTCCTGGCGGTGCTCAGGGGACCATATGGGATGCTGGGAATTGAACCCGGGTCGGCCGCGTGCAAGGCAAACGCCCTACGCGCTGTGCTATCTCTCCAGCCCCATACTATGTAAGTTTTTGATTACACTTAATGTTTAAACTTGGGATATTACTATTTAATCACCATATACTTCATATTATGTGATTTTTTGGGCGAGAGGGCCCTTACCTGGCGGTGCTTAGGGGCCAGTTTTAGGTTGCTCAGGGAAGTTTATGTGGTGCCAGGACTGAACCAGAGTCGGCCGTATGCAGGTCAGGGCCTCAGCCCCAGCACTGTTTCTCCAGCCCCTTATTACATGGGGGGAAGGGGCCACACCTGGCAGTGCTCAGGGATTATTCCTAGCTCTGCACTCAGGGATACGCCTGGTGGTGCTCAGGTGTTACTCCAGGTTCTGCACTTAGGGATACACCTGGAGGTGCTCAGAGGTTACTCCTAGCTCTGCACTTAGGGCTCACAGCTGGCAGTGCTCAGAGGTTACTCCTGGCTCTGCACTCAGGGCTCACAGCTGGTGGTGCTCAGAGGACCCAAGGAGTGAACCTGGTCAGCTACATGCAAGGCAAGCATCCTACCTGGTGTCCTGTTGCTGTGCCCTAATTTTAACTCATTTTAAAAAAAATCAAAGGGAGAGAGAGAGCTCAACAGACGGAGCTCTGCTTGGCGTGCAGAAGGCCAGATTCTCCCCCTGGCACCATATGGTTCCTCAGCGCTGCCGGGTGTAGCCCCCAGATAGAAGCTAAACATGGCAGGCAAACTGGAAAAACTCAAAATGAAAAGGGAATTCTCAGCAACCCTGTCCAGGACCCAGAAATAACCGTCTTCTGTAGTGATACTCCAGAGACAGCCTGGGGACGAGGGTGTGGCTGCCTGGCTCCCACGGGGCCTTCATCACATGTGTCGGGAATCACGTGAGCCAGTCTGTGCAGAATTCAGAGAACAAAACCTCTACACATCGTAAATATTTATTAAACATTTCCCCAGATTTCTCTCCAAGTTCATAGATGCATTCTTTATTTCTTTTTTGCTTTCTGGGTCACACTCAGCAATGCTCAAGGGTTACTCCTGGCTCTTCACTCAGGAATCACTCCTAGTGGTGCTTGGGGGACCATATGGGATGCCAGGGATTGAACTTGGGTTGGCTGCCTGCAATGCAATCTTCTCCCCGCTATACTACCACTCCGGCCCATCCTTTCTTTCTTCCTTTGATGAATTCTTAAGATGCCCAGTGTGTCTTGGGCATCTTACCCTATCAGTATATCAGTATATTTAGTTGTATATGGAATATGTGGTATAATTATAGATTTACATTAAATATGTCTCTCTCATCCCCCTTGCCCACTCTCTTTCTCTTTCTCTGTCTCTCTGTCTCTGTCTTTCTCTCTCGCGCGCTCTCTCTCTCGTACATGGGAGACATGTGCTCTGCCACTCACCCATTCTGGTCCCTCAGACTTCCTGTGACTGTGTCGTGCCCATGACGCAGCTGCATCGGACCATGTGTCATGAGGCCTGCGTGCATAAACGTGCAGTTGCATCTCCAGCACGGCACCACCCTCTCCATCCACATCACAAACAAGGAGATCGCTGGCCAGTGATGCAGCGGGTCCACAGTGCCAAGGCCAAGTTCCATTGCCCCACTAGCCCCTGCATCAGTACAACATCGCCTCTCCCCCGCCACCGAGAGACCCATCCCTTTCAGAGGCAGGACCTGCCCTCACCCCCGGCTCCCCAGATGAGCTCTTTGGGCGACAGGACCAGCCCTGAGACATGCAGGGCAGGAGGCAACTCCATCATTCAGCTGCCCCTCGCTTCCGTGCTGTTGGTCTTTAAGCCCAACTTTGATGTTTTTTTGACTATTCTAAGAGGAGGCACCGGCTTTATATTTACTCCATTGCCTTGAAAATGATTTTTTTTGGGGGGGTAAGTGGGATAAACCCGGTGATGCTCATTGTTTATTTTTGGCTCTGTGCTCAGGGATCATTCCTAGCAGTGCTCAGGGGGACCCTATGGGATGCCGGGGATCGAACCTGGCTCAGTTCCGTTTAAGGCAAGCGGCCTCCCCACTGTGCGACCACTCCAGCCCCATGAAAATGATTTGGGGAAGAACATAATTGTGTAACTTTTCCACTGTCGGCAACTGGAAAATTTGGGTGCCATGTGTTCCGTGTCCAGGGAAGAGGGGTTGACCATTTCTTTTGTGTGTGTGTGCTTTTGGGGTGGGGTCTGGCTTTACTCCTGGCTCTGCACTCAGGAATTACTCCTGGCAGTGCTTGGGGGACCATATGGGATGCCGGGGATTGAACCCGGGTCGGCTGCATGCAAGGCAAATGCCCTACCCGCTGCACTATCGCTCCGACCCCGAGTTGACGCTTTCTTGCTCTTCAGCACTGTTCTCTCATTTACTTCAGTTCTGCCCCAGTGCCTTGAGACCTGCCCTCCAGCTCTCCTGAGTCTGACGTGAGCGGACGTGACTGGGCACTGGTGGATCTTCTGTACAGGAACTAGTGTTGTGGCGGGCCGGCGTTTGCTGATCACGCCAACCCTGTCACTGCCGGCGGACAGGGGCTCCTGTGACCACCGCCCCTTTGCTCTTCCTTGCAGAGATGTGGTATGGTGTGTTCCTGTGGGCACTGGTGTCCTCGCTCTCCTTCCATGTCCCTGCAGGATTGCTGGCCCTCTTCACCCTCAGACATCACAAATATGGTAGGTTCATGTCTGTAAGCATCCTGTTGATGGGCATCGTGGGACCAATTACTGCTGGAATCTTGACAAGTATGTTAGCCATTCAAATACCAGTCGAAACGTTTCCTATGATGAGTCGCTTCATTTCAGGGCCAATTTTAGAAATATGTTCGCGGGAAGGGATGGGGGGGAGGAGGAGAGTTTAACCACAGGGTCCTTCTTTTTCATGTTTTTTTCCTGTCCGCTGCCCTGCCCCATGAGGGGGTCTCCCAGCTCCAGTTAATTGGCACACCTTATCAGAGTGGGCGAAAGAGAAGCTCCGGTCCAGCTTCCTGGGATACCGCTTTGTGTGTGGTCCCTAGCAGAAGGGACAGATTTGTCTTTCTGGAAGCTACTTTCACTGTACCGGGGCTTTTGTAAGGCAGTTGACTTACTCACAGGGTTGTTGAATGACTCCTGCCCTGTGGGATAAACTTCCACTCATGGATGTGTTCACTTTAAGGATGGAAGAATCACTCTGATAACAAAATTCCTCTGGGGGGAGGGGTTGGATTTGGGGGCCACATATGGAAGTGCTTCAAGGCTATTCCTGGCTCTGTACTTGGGGGGGCCATGTAGGATGCCAGGGATTGAACCCAGGTTGGCCACATGTAAAGCAAGTCCCTTACCCGCTGTGCTATCTCTCTGGACTGGTAGATGTTTCTAAGTTTTTTCCCAGGGTTTCTGTTTCGGTTTTGACTTTGTTCATGTCATAGGAATGAGAATGATAAGCTTAAATAACCTTAAGTTTATCATCAGATAGAGATGTATAATTTATATATGCTGAAATGATGAAAGATAAAAATCCCCCCGCCCCTGAGCAAGTGTCACGGTTTGTGTTTCGGGGTATGCTTTCCGGCGCTTTCCCTCCATGCGCGCAGGAACACAAGGGGGTCTCCCAATCCAACGCGGTAGAACATTCCAGCTCATCTGCACCAGCTTTTCTCACTGCAAATTTACCTCTTTTTGGTCTAGAGCCACAGTACCCGTGCCCAGGGTCACTCTCAGTGGCGTTTGGGGGACACTGTTGTGCTGGGGGTTCAACCTGGGCCTCCCTCCCATGGGCAGAGCGTTGGCCTAGCCTCTTGGTTTACAGCATGTCCCCCTAGCTTGAGAGGTTTGGGGGGACTGGCGGACTGGCCTCATTTTCCTGTGCTCTATAGATAATGAAACTGGTAATAACAAGCATAGGAGTCCGTAGGCATCTCCGCAATTGAATGTAATATTTTGTTTTGTTTTCTTTTTGGGTCACACCCAGCAATGCTCAAGGGTTACTCCTGGCTCTGCACTCAGGAATTACTTCTGGTGGTGCTCAGGGGACCATATGGGATGCGTGGAATTGAACCTGGGTCAGCCGCGTGCAAGGCAAATGCCCTACTTGCTATACTATTGCTCTGGCCCAAATGTAATATTTTGGAAGATTTTTTTTTTTTTTTGGCCCACAACCTGCTGTGGCTCGGGCTTCCACCTCCCTGTGCTCAGACATCTCTCCTGGCCCCAGGGCCTTATGTACCACTGGGGATCAAACCTGGATCACCCGCCAGCAGGGCCAGCGCCTTGGCCCCCTGTACATTTGCTCCAGCCGCTGTCCTATTGTTTACTCCATCCGGTATGGCTATCTTTAACAACCCTCTGCTCCATTGCCCTGCCTGGATTACTGACTTCTTGGACCTGCTTTAGATTTCCCAGCAGTAAAATAGGGATAAAACCCCATGCTGCATATGGTGGCCAATGAGTCGGTAAACGAATGTACTGTTAGGAATTTCACAGCATCCCTAGCACCAAGTCTCGTTCCGGTGATCGTCACGCCAGCCCTCGTGCTGCGCATGTGCCAAGGTGTCTCCACCCCCTGCGGTCCACGTCCCAGCCAGGAGAGGAGAGAACGCGGTGGTCCATGGACCATAAAGCCCACTTCCCCCCATTTTGTTGCTCTTCCCGTTCACTTTTTCCTTCCCACAGTCCTCATCATCCAAACCTACTGTAGACGCCGGCAAAATTTCTTTCTTTTTTCTTTTTTTTTTTCTTTTTGGGTCACACCCAGTGATGCACAGGGGTTACTCCTGGCTCATGCACACAGGAATTACTCCTGGTGGTGCTCGGGGGACCCTATGGGATGCTGGGAATTGAACCCGGGTCAGCCACGTTCAAGGCAAATGCCCTACCCGCTGTGCTATCGCTCCAGCCCACTCATTCTTCTTAAAGGAGATTGCTGTGCCTCCCTGGCTCGTTTCTAAAACCGTCTATTTGACCAAGACACCATGTGCTGTTTTGCATTGTTCAAAATCTGTGTTCACAAGGGCATATTTCAACTGAAATCTCTGTGGACATTTAGAATATTCACAATATATTCACATTATAATGTCTGGGTATATTGGTTTATCAAGTGAGGTGTTTTTAATTAGATTAGGGCGATCTATAATGCAGCCATTGATTCATATGCCTCTAGGATACTGAATGCCTGAAAATTGTGCATAAGTGTTGTTTCTGAAGTTTTCAGATGATTGTTTATCTTTATTTTACTTACTACAATTAGCAAGGGATGCTTAAGTAATCAAATACTGTAATGTGTGATGTTTTTAAATGCTTCATTGATTATATTTCAAAATTCTTTAAAGAATTTTATTCATTTAATATTTAAACTTCAGCAAATTAAACACAGAGAATAGAAGCTACTATTTAAAATTGTATATGCATCATTAAAATTTATAAAACCCTTTTCTAAAAAAAAAAAAAAGATCTGTGTTCACGTTCCCACTGGCTGTCTTGTGTCTCCAGCTGGATTCTGAGACCATGGGACTAGAAACCATACTTTCTAAAATGCCTAAAGAAAGAAATCAGTGAATATTTGAAAGATGATAGCTCTGTCACCAGGGAGCCATTTGGCAGGGAGGGTCGTCCGGAAGTGCCAGGTTTGTTCTCTCCAAACTAGCTCAGTTTTGACTTTCTTGGCACAAGCCGCATCCCAACTGGGCTGGAGATGGGTCTCGGGGGAGATACTACAGATTCTTGTGTTCGTTCACTCACGTTCAGAAAGAAAGTGACCCACACAAAGCACCCTTGGTGAAAAACAGGAGGGAATCCATTCCACTCGTGCGCACTTTAACCTCTTCCCAGCTCTGTACACAGTCCCCTTCCTCGCCCTCAGCCCACCCGGTTCCTCTGTTTCTGGAGGGCAATGGTGCATCTATGGTCAAAGGTGGACACGGCGGCCCTGCGGCTTCTCCTGGAGTATTTCTTGTTCAGTCTCACACAGAAGATTATCAATTCTGCAAGAAAGGAAGCAGTTTTTGACTTTGCAGTCAGGCCACATAAAAATTGTAGTCTTTATGGACTGAACATGTTTGCCACTCAATGCCTCTTTTGCAGACCACAACACCCAAAAGGAGAGAGAGAACACAGGGGATCGCCCTGCCACAGAGACAGGGGGGGATGGGGGATGGGGGTGGGGGGAATATTATCCATGGTGGTGGAAAATGGGCACTGGTGGAGGGATGGGTATCTGATCATTGTATAATCAAACCCAAGCACAAAAAATTGTAAATCTACAACTGTACCTCATGGTGTTTCACTAATAAAAAAAAATTTATAAAAAAAAGTACATACTACTTAAAAAAAATTGTAGTCTTGGGGCTGGAGCAATAGCACAGCGGGTAGGGTATTTGCCTTGCACGCAGCCGACCCGGGTTCGATTCCCAGCATCCCATATGGTCCCCCGAGCACCGCCAGGAGCAATTCATGAGTGCATGAGCCAGGAGTAACCCCTGTGCATCGCCGGGTGTGACCCAAAAAGCAAAAAAAAAAAAAATTGTAGTCTTTATGCAGAGTTTAATTTTGACTTGCAGGTGATTTTACTCAATAAGTCTTAGAGAGTCTCACTTTTAAGGAGCCCCCCCTTTTAATGCTGGGAAGTGGAGATTCGTGATTTGCAAAGCATCTAAGAAATGCTTAACGTTTAAGGTAGCAGGAAGAACACAGAAAATAGAAGATTTCTAGCAAATGAAAGTTTAACGTTAAGAAATCTGGAAAAGGCTGGGGCCGGAGCAATAGCACAGCGAGTAGGTGTTTGCCTTGCACACAGCCGACCCGAGTTCGATCCCTGGTATCCCATATGGTCCCCCAAGCACTGCCAGGAGTAATTCCTGAGTGCAAAGCCAGGAGTAACCCCTGAGCATTGCTGGGTGTGACCCAAAAAGCAAAAAAAAAAAAAAAAAATCCGGAAAAGGTATAGTACAATGGCAAGAGCATTTACCTCGCATGTGGCCAACTGGGTTCGGTCCCGAGCATCCCATCTGGTCCCCCAAGCACTGCCTGGAGTGATCCCTGAGTGCAGAGCCAGGAATCAGCGCTGAGCATACTCAGGGGTGGCCCCCAAATAAAAACAAAAACATCTGGAATACTCTATGTAACAGTGGGATTCTAGTGCTAATGCTCTAATTATACTAACCTTGATTTTTTTTTTCCATACTCGAACTTTTTCTTAGGTGCGGCCATCGCAGGGGTGTACCGAGCAGCGGGCAAGGAAATGATTCCATTTGAAGCCCTCATCTTAGGAACGGGACAGACGTTCTGTGTGGTGGTGGTCTCCTTTCTCCGTGTCCTAGCCACCCTCTAGCATACACTCACAGGCTCTGCTGTAGAGCCTGCATTTTCTAGAAACCTCAAAAAGAAAATCTGTGGAATGTGGTGTCTTCTTACTTCTTCAAGTGGAAGCGGCTTGAACGAAAAAGTGTTTGAAGAACAACTTCCCGGCTCTCGCTTCAGTTCGGAGCTCCCAGAATTGAAGGTCTTTTGGAATGATTTTCCAACCAAAAGCAAGTGAAATCTTTCCCGGCTAGATCTTACTGTGAGCAGTTACACAGGTGCACCTTTATCCAGTCCAACAGTACTTATTAAGCCAACAGTACTTCTGGGTTGGCACCCTTTCTACTGAAATCTGTACTGTTCTGTAAGCAGAACCAGTGCTGTGTCCTTATTTCAGGGGAACTGTGAGATAATGGTGATGGATTTCTGAGCGCAGTATACTGTACGAACATCTTACTTGGTCTGATCTTGATCAAAATTTGGCAGACTTCTTCATGCCAAAGTAAGTTTTGGTTGAGTAAAGCTCCAAGAACAAATTTGGGGGAAGGCAACAGGAATAAATTCTACTAAGAGTGGCTATGATTCCACTGTTAAGAGAAAAGAATAACTACTGAATGATGAGACTTTTTTTTTATGGATAACTATTTTGACCTCTGATTATTTTAAGAGATGTGAATTTGTTATTTTATACACTTTATCAAAATAAGCTAACTGAATTGAGATTCCCCCTCCCCCCCCCCCAAAATTTATGTACCACCTTTTTCTATCAATTTTATTCTGTTCATTTTATTTGGATTAAATTAGGAACATAACTTATTAAGTAGCTTGGGTTGAAATTTTTAAGAGAAACTGGTTTTGACCCTCTTTGGGCAGTAATGCACTTATGAAAGATACTTTGAACGCTGTTAGTTTTCCTTAGTGACTAGTGCTTATTAATGACTTGAAAACATATTGAGATGTAGCTTGACCTAGAGTTAGTGGGTACTGGTCTCTGAGTTTTGGGGGACTGCCCCATGGTGCATCTTCAGCCCCCTTAGAGTATGGGGTCTCATTCTCAGAAAGTGCCAGAAGTTTGATTTTCAGACTGCTTTCCATGTCCCCTTTATATTTTCCTTTATGAGAATTTATCATCTGAAAGATAATGAAATACTAAGAATTTTTAAACCAAAGTTTAGCAAATTTTTATTTTTATCCTATTGTTTTTTTTTTCTTAATTAAAAGCCCTGAAAACTGTGACCTCCTAAAGAGAAAGGATTGAAAACAGTTAAGTATCCTATTACTTAACACTGTTTTGCTTGGACTACAGTGGATGCTGTTACCTGTTTTCACAGTACTTTCTGGTAACTAAATCTGATGTTTTTAAAGGAAAGTTTTTATTGTGAGACTAAGGCTAGCAGCCCAGTAACTCATGGGCACACAAAATTATTTCATTCCCTTAAAAGCAATATGATCTCTGGGTTAGTTGAAAATAGCCAGGACAACTGACTTATCAAGAAAAGTCATAGAAAATAATTACAGGGGCCAGAGTAAGCTGCTTGTTGCCCCAAAATGAAACAAAGCAAAAAAAAAAATGAGAAATTACAGAAGTGTTACAGAAGTGTATATTCAGATAAGGTGGAAAACTGTGAATTGAAATATAGCAAATATTCTCACAAGTTTAAGATTATGCACTAATGCCCAAATTTATCTTTCAAGACACTTTCAAGTCTTTAGTTAAAGGCTCCCTTTTCTCATCAAGGAGCCGTGATCTTTAATGGCTAAAAAATTGGGGGATGTTGCAACCATTATTTTAGGAAATTTATTTTAATCATCCTTAAACATCCTGCTTAAGGATGTCTCTGTTGAATAATGTTCACATCTAAGACATTCTTTTGAAATGAACCTCACAGATAGCACATGTGGACCGCTGCTATGTGGGTCCTTTCCCCAGAATACTAATTTTTTAGCATATTGACCCACGACTTCATTGTTTGCTTGTTTTTCTCTTAGAGCCACAGCATGAATGCATTTTAAAAGTTGTTTTGTTTTCGTCTACTTCTTGTTTGCTCTATTTTGATTATCCACTTTAAAAAGTTTTTTTTTTCAAATACAAAATGTATCTTCATCCATCCCAGTATGTGAACTTTATCCTGTGAATAACTGTACATAGATTTTATATATATAGCTTGAGCTTGGTAGTTTGAGGTATTTTCAGGGAGAAATTCTTTAAATGATAAAGAATGTCCAACCCCCCCCAACCCCCAGTTTTTGGTTTTCTTTTGATTTTTATTTCCTCCTCTAAATACACAATTATTTGGGGGTGGCTGCTCAGACATAGTATCCTGGCATTTGTAGTGAATGTCTTCTTTTCTCCCATCTAGTTTTTTGGGGTGTTTTTGCCTGTAGCTGGCTTCCTCAGAGACAAATGCAGCTACCCTTCTCCCAGTTGTCAATCGGTTTTCTCACCTTTTTTTTTTTTTTTAGTTGGTTAAGAAGAGAGACAGCCCCAAGCTGATTTCTGGAGCCAGAGAGATAGTACACTTGCCTCACCTGTGACCGCACCTGGTCACATTCCCAGCACCACATCTGGTTCTCCCCAGAGAGACCCCTAAGTACAGAGCCAAGAGTAGCTCCTGAGAGACCCTGGGTGTGGCCCAAACCCTACCCCCAGAACAAAAAGAAAAACTTTGATTTCTTGAGTATTTAATATAGAAAGCATGTTTTGCTTGTTAAGTTTTACAGTGCTGGGAATCGAACCCAGGGCCTCACAGATGCAAGGCAAGTGTGCAGTGCTGGGCCATGCCCTGCCCCCTAAATATGGAAATTTGGGCAGCTGGAAAGAGAGTTCAGTGGGCTGAGTGCATGCTTTGCATGTGGGAATCCAGTGTTGGATCCCTGGCATTTGCTGGTGCCCTGAGCACAGCCGGATATAGCTCAAAAACAAACACAGCATTTCCGGGTAAAGACATTTAATTAAAACGTAAAAGTCCACATACGACATATGATGAACATTCTAAGAAAATGTTCATGATGCATTTTGTGTGCTGTTGTTTCTGGCAACAAAACACTTCTTAGGAAATATTTATCACAAATCACAAAAATCACAAATCATCCTGTTATTCGTCGATTGCCTCGAGCAGGCCCCAGTAACGTCTCTTTCATCCTAGCCCTGAGATTATATTCAAGGCTCTTTAGGAGAATGAGACCCATCATTGTTACTGGTATTTGGCATATTGGGTACGCCACGGGGAGTTTGCCAGACTCTGCCGTGTGGGCAGGCTACATTCAGTAGCCTGCCAGTTTGTCAAAGTCGGAATGAGATGTCATAATAAGATGTCGAGCGGCTGCTCGACTCCAATCCGAGTAGGCTTGGAGATCTCGGCCCCGGAACCCACATGGCTTTGTCCCTCTGCCGGTACCTTCAGGTGTGCGGAGAGTGGTCTCAGCATGGTGGTGGCTGGTCCTGGAGGTCTTCGGCTGCCGGGGCCCTGGTCAGGGCCGGGAGGAAAGCTCAACCCGCTGAGCGATAGCACAGCGGTAGGGCGTTTGCCGTGCACGCAGCCAACATGGCCAACCCAAGGAAATATTTATGTTAATGAATAAAGAAGTTCATGCAAAGGATAACCTTTGAATCCTTTCTTAGATTTTTAAGTGTTTCAAGTATATGTTGACTTTTATTTCAAGGTCCTCTTGACCGTTCTTTTTCATCCAAGGTTAGATCATATGCACAATGCAACACTCACAAACCTTCCCTAAGAAACCGTTTCCTGGAGCAGGAAGCACTGGTGCCATTTTCTGTCCACAGAAAGGTGTGTGTGTGTGTGTGTGTGTGTGTGTGTGTGTGTGTATGTGTGTATGTTTGTGCATGCATGAATTTTTTTTTTTGCACTGTTAGGCTGGTTGTGACTAAAATCAGCCTAACTTTTTGTATTAGATTATTTCACTAATGCTACAGTCAAAATGATCAAACCTTTGTACAATAGAAAAAATATTTAAATTTTATTTTTCTACTGACATTTCTAATTCTGGTATAAATGTTTATCAATAAAGAATTACTTTCGATTCTGTGAACTGTTATATTTCTTTAAGTGGCCAAAGAATTTTAATATTTTGCAACTGTTGTCCAAGTTAAGTTTTGTTTTTTAAAAAATATATGTACATGTCTGTAACTTAGTACTTAAAGTATACGTTTAATTGTATTTCTATTATGTTAAAAATTAACTTCTTACTAATTTATGATAAAATTTTTGTTCAAAGATGTGATTAAAAAAGTACTTCACGTTAACCTGAGTCTTATATTAACTCTACTTTGTGTGTTCTCTGTCAACATCAAGAATCTTTTGGACAATTCAACACTGAAAGTGTTGAAAGATTTTATATATATATAATTATTTCAGGGGCTGGATAGATAGTAGTGGGGGTAAGGTGCTTGACTTGCACACAGCTGAGCCTCGTTCGATCCCCAGCACTGTGTATGATCCTCTGTGCACTGCCAGGAGTGACCCCATGAGCACAGAGCCAGGAATAGTCCCTGAGCACAGCTGGGTACAGCTCAAAACTTTAAAAAACAAAATAAAAGATCTCTTTAGCTCTCGTAAGGCCAAAATGTAAGAATTAAGCTATGAAACTCAGAATGGAGAGATGCACGGCAAGTAGGACTCTTGTCTTGTACCAGTCAACCCAGGTTCTATCCCCAGCATCCCTATGGCCTCCCTGAGCATCACTAGGAATAATCTCTGGGTACAAAGGCAGAGTAAGCCCAGAGCAATGCCAGGATGGCTCCAAAACACACACACACAGACAAAAAAAACCCATGAAACTCTTAGAAAAAAATTAAATACACCTGAGTTAATATTTACAACAAGGGCTGGAGCAATAACACAGCAGGTAGGGCATTTGCCTTGCACACGGCCAAGCCAGGTTTGGTTCCCAGCATCCCATATGGTCCCCTGAGCACCGCCAGGGGTAATTCCTGAGTGCAGAGCCAGGAATAACCCCTGTGCATTGCCGGGTGTGACCCAAAAAGCAAAAAAAAATTTAAAAATTACAACAAAACACTTTGAATTACAGCATTTTTGTGTAATGCTTCCCATGTACTGAGATGGAACTACTTCAATGCTTTCCCTGAGTCATAAGTTTCATACACAGGCAGCACAGATGCAGAATCCAGTCTAACCTACTGTACACTATTTGCCCACAGTGAACAGTACAGTGAACATATGCTAGATGCTGTCCACGCCAGTGGCCCCTGAAAGCAATAATAAAGGGGAGCATTTACAGTCCCATAAAAACATTCGCTGAAATCTGCAGGAGTGATGCAGACCTGTGTGGTTAAATCTTAACCACAGGAATACATCACACAGGCCGTGCCCAGTGCAGTTAAATCTCTTAACCTTGGTTCGCCCCAGGAAAACCAAGAGACAGGGCAGTGGACCTTACTCTGCAGGAGAGCAATAAGGTGGCATGTCCTTCTTTGGCAGTTCAACCTACGGCATTTGGCTCTCATGACTTGCCGATGGAGCAGATAATGTCACCTCCCCCGGGGCTCAAACACTGAGTCGGCCTTTCCTGCTTGGCTTTATGCCTCAAGTCCTTAAGCATCACAGCATAAGGGGCGAAGGCGATGGGGCTGAGGCGCTTACACCTCAGTGTGCTTGACAGAAATGCCCTTGAAGATGTTTCCAAGGCAGAACTCCATCCTAAGACTTTGGCCGTGGTGAGAGACGAAGTCTTAGTGTCTGGGGCTGACTTTTGTCATTAGTCTGGCCCTGGCTCACTCCAATGTCTGGCTTTGCTGTCGTATCAAGGTCTTTGTTGGTGGGTTCTATCACCTCCTCTGCCAAGATTGCCACCATATCATTTTCCTTTATGTCCTCAAAGCCCTCTTCTTAACCATGCAATTGGCATTATATTTGTGTGTGTGTGTGTGTGTGTGTGTGTTTAGTTTGGGGCCCATACTTGGTGGTGCTCAGGGCTTTCTCTTGGCTCTACCCTTAGAGATTGCTCTAGGCAGTGCTCCAAGGACTCTATGGGGTGCCAGGGATTGAACCTGGGTCAGACATGTACAAGGCAAATGCTCTCCCTACTGTTCTATAGCTCCTGCCTTTATTTTTTTGATACTGTTCTTGATACTTTTGGTAACTCCTTCGGAGCCTTTGAAATTTCCCAGGCTGGCCAGACATTTTTCCAATAGTGATTGATAGTGCTTGTCCCAAGCTGTGCCAATGTAATCAGTCATGTTGGGGAGAATGACTGGCTTCCATCACAATAGTAGTTTCTCCATTGGCCTTTTGGAGCTCAACAGCCCTGCTATGAAGCTTCCTGGTACACTGGGCTTTGAAAGCCTTTACCATGCCCCGATGAAGGGGTTGGATGAGAGATGGAGTGTTGGGGGGCATGAAAAGAACTTTGATGCTGAGGCGGGCATTTTTTTGTTCTTCACAGCAGTGGACTGGGGCACTATCTAAAAGTAATAGAACCTGGAAAGCAAGGACTCTTCCCTAGTGATAGCATTCAACTTCTGGTATGAAGCAGTTATGAAACCCATCCGAGGTCATCCATAGTTTTTTGTTCCACCACTGGCGTATTTTGTACACTTTTTCCATTAGGAGCTTGTGGATTTGGGGCTCCGGACACCATTAGGGTTTGCACTTAAAGCTACCCTTAGCATTGGTGTTCAGAAGCAGTCGACCTTGCTTTTTGAAGTCAAATAGAACCTAGTGACCATAGGTTCATTTGTCATCACTCTGTCAAATAAGCCAGTTTCATCCACATGGAATGCCTGCTCTTCCACAAATTCCTTCTCCAACATAACATGTAGCAAGTTTTTTTTTTTAAGCAATTCGCAGTTTTCTGGTCTACAGAACTCACTTCACTTTTTTTTTTTTTTTTTTGCTTTTTGGGTCACACCCGGCTCTGCACTCAGGAATTACCCCTGGCCGTGCTTGGGGGACCATATGGGATGCAGGGAATCGAACCCAGATCAGCTGCATGCAAGGCAAACACCCTACCCACTGTGCTATTGCTCCAGCCCCTCACCTCACTTGTAAGTTGAACATTTTTTCACCCCAAAGCTGTAAATTGAACATTTTTTCACCCTGTACCAACTTTTGAACCTTGCAACCAGCCAGTACTAGTCAAGGATTTAACGTTTCCTGCCCCAGGATAATGTGACTATATATTTCCTCTAGCTTTCAGCCTCACGCCAATGCCATTCACCACACTTCTTTTTTACCCCTCTCCCTAGTCATCTTCTCACGATTCCATAAATTTAGCTGCTTCTTCATCTTCTCCATAGCTTTCTCATGCATTAGGAACCTTGCTTTAGCACTTTCAGGAGCAGCCTAACACAGAGATCCTTGAATTTCCTTTCCCATTTTCTTGATGTGTGGGATTGTAAATTCACTAGCGTTGAACTCACGGACAACAGCGTTACCTCTCCTGTCTGATAAGCCTACCTAACATGAATTTTCTCCATAAGGCGCATCACAGTCTTCCTGCACTTCGGAACTCTAGATAACACTTAAGTACTGAGCTTGGGGGTCAGTTTAAGCAAACAACCCCCGCCCAAAATAACAAAACGACAATCCACAAAAATGCACACACACACACACACACACACACACACACACAACGCGTCACTAAATAAATGAGCACGGAGCTCACTTATTTTACAATATGCGAGCTGAAATAAGGAAGCAGTTCTTCGGTTTAGCTCAATCTCAGCTCCACCGGCTCCGCTTTCTCACCCACTGCGCATGTCCCCGAAATAAGCCTCAGAAAGAGCATCGGGGATATTGATTTGGCGGTTACAGGTAATCTGAGCAAGCAACACGCAAATGCCAACTCATGAAGAGCAAGCGGTGGCCTGCAGTCCCTCCGGAGGGAGGTTAAGTACGTCGATCCCCTTCTGCTCCATCGGAGCGGCGCCCGGGGGTGAGCCGGACTACAAGTCCCAGCATGCACCGCGCCCGCGCCCAGCCCGGAAGTGTCGCGGAGCGACCGCGCAGACGCTTCTGCGCCTGCGCGCACGCCGCGGGGCTTTGCCGCCGCCGCCGCCGCATCTGCCGCCGCATCTGCCGCCGCCCCCGCCGCCGCTCCGGGGTCGCTGCATCGAGCCTTGCTGTTGGGGGGCTGCCGTGGCCCGGCCGCCGCGCGGGACAGCGCCATGGAGGAATTCGACTCCGAGGACTTCTCCACGTCGGAGGAGGACGAGGACTACGTGCCGTCGGGTGAGCTGCTCCGCCCCGCGCTTCGCCTCACGTGAGGCGCGTCGGGCCCGGCGAGGCCGCGGCCCGCGTGTCCCGGGCTTCGAGGAGCGCGGGGCCGGCACGTGGCCCGCCCGCACCCGGGGCCGCGCGTTTCGGCTCTGCAGACTCGGGTCTAGCTGTGATGGTTGTTGTTGGGGGAGGGGGGCGTGGTTTTTTTTTAACGTCACACTTTGTGTGTGGCCCTGGCGGTGCTGAAGGGACCGGGCGGTGGGCGCCGGGCCCGAAACCCTCCTCCCCCGCGCGAGGTCTCGGTGCACACTTTTTTTTTTTACTTTTTTGGGGGGCGGGGGGGGGCGTTGCTCAGGGCTTCCTCCTGGCGCTGTGCTCAGGCACCCAGCACGCCGGGTGCCGTTTGCGGGACCATGGCCCGCGGCCCAGGCAAGCCCATGGCGCCGGCCCCAGCAGTGGATGGGGGGGTGCGAGCTGCATGAGACCCTTTGGGGGTGCTGGGGAGAGAACAGCGGGCCGAAGCTCTTGCCTTGCACACGGCATCCCATGCGGTTCAATAGCACAGCGGGTTGGGCACGTGCCTTGCATGTGACCGACCCGGGTTCAGTCCCCAGCATCCCATACGGTCCCCCGCAGCACCGCCAGGAATGCTGGGTGTAGCCCCCCCCCAAACAAAATAGAAATCCCATTCGTGGGGGGCCACCCAGGCCAGCCCTTAAGGCACTCACTCATGGGGAGTGTCAGCCCCGAAGTGTTGCTCAGGGAACAAGTAGTCACAGTGGGAAGGTGTGTGCCAGAGCGGCCGTCTGGTTTCTATCCTGGCACTGCAAAGAATCCCCTCTTCAAGCTCCCAGCACCACCGGGAGGACCCCAGAACTAAACACCCTGAGCACGGCCGTGAGGACTCATCTTTCTGTTTGGTGACCGGCCAGTCAGTGAACTGTGTCCCGAGTGGAAAATCAGCTTCAGAACGTCTCTGCAGAAGTCTGCACTCTTGTCCAACACTGCTCAGAAGGAATTTACCAGAATCAGTCATTTGTGACTGAGTTTTTATCTGAATGAAAAACATAAAAACTGGGGCGGGAGTGATAGCACTGCGGGTAGCGGGGTAGGGTGTTTGCCTTGCGGGCAGCCGACCGAGGGCATCCCATATAACCGTGCACCGTCAGGAATAAAGAGTAGAGGCAGGAGTTACCCCGGAATTCTGCTGGGTGTGGCCAAAAAAAAGCAGAAACGAAAAGCATAAAAAACTGCATACATGTATCTAAGGAGAGTAGAATACTTTTTCCGAGGATTACTTGAAAAATTGAGCAGTTCCCGTGGCCCACCTCCCCATTTGCAGCCCTCCCCAAGATGAGAGTGCTTCCTTCTTTCAGAATTTGGTGGGGCTTTCATCAGTTTGTCTTTTGTTTGGGGGCCACAACCGGCAATGCTCAGGGTTTACTTGTGGCCGACTGTGCTCAGGGATCGCTCCTCTTGGTGCTGGAGGACCATATGTGATGCCAGGGATCGAACCCTGGTTGGTCAGGTGCAGGCAAACTACCCTTTGCACTCTTTCCGACTATTTCTGGCCCCTCAGAATTTGATGGTTTATCTGTTCGTTTAACCTTATGCCTGGTAGGCCTCATTTAAACACCCCCTTGCCTCCTACCCCCGCTCCCCAGGGCACCCCCTTCTTCAGACACTTCTTAGCTCCCCTGCCTGCCTTTGTCCTGTTTATCATATCAGCATGAGATACACAGTAACAAAGTTGTTCCCTGATAGGGTTTCAGTCACACAGTGTTCCAACATCCAAGCCTTCACCAGTGCACATCTCCCACCACCAATGTCCCTGATTGCCTCCCACCACCTTGGCCTTCCCGTATGGCAGATACACTCTTTCTTTGTCTCTCTGACTCTCTCTGTCTCCCTCCCCTTTCTCTGTCTCTCCCTTCCTCCCCTCACCCTCTCCTCCTCTTCTCTCTCCCTCTCCCATTTTTTCTCTTTTCTCTCTCCTTCCTCTCCCCCTCTCTCCATTTAACATTGTGGTTTGCAATACAGGTACTGAAAGGTTATCATGTGCATCACGTTACCTCCTTTCAGCGCTCAGTTCTTGTACAGAGTGATCCCTGTTCCAGCCTTCAGATCACTATTTTTTGTGGGGAAGGGGTCCTACATCTGACTCTGTGCGCCTCCGGAGAGCACATATGGTCCCAGGATTCAAACCAGGGTGATGGCCACAGCTGTTAAGAGCTAGCTAAGCAAGTGTCTTAACCTTTGTTAAGATCAGTATTTTTTATTTATTTTGTTTCAGGGGCCATACCCAGTGATAATCGGGTTACTCCTGGCTCTGCACTCAGAAATCATTCCTGGTGGTGCTAGGGGACCCTATGGGATGCCAGGGATTGAACCCAGGTCAGCCACATGCAAGGCAATGTCCTACCTGCTGTACTATTGAACCAGTCCCACGGTCATGTATTTTATAATGTGAACACACAGTTCAAAGCCAGATCTTGAAATCACTTGATCACTTGACTTCCCTTTAATCGTTGATTTGCTCGAGCGGGCGCCAGTAACGTCTCCATTTGTCCCTGTCGCGTGCTAGTGTAGCCCAATGGTGTCTGTTCGATTTTATTGTTTAGTAACTACATACATTTAATTTGACCTGAAATCTCTGAACTGTTTTAGTGACTTTCAAAGTCTGTAGGCATAGAAAAGTTATCAAGTGCTCTCACTTTGGGTTTATTTTCCGTGTGTGTGTGTGTGTGTGTGTGTGTGTGTGTGTTGGGTGGGGGGTTTGCTGGATCACATTCAGAGGTACTAGGTCACTCCTTACTCCCACCCCAGGTCAGGCAAGCGTCTTAACCCCTGTGCACTCAATCTAGTCTCAGGAACTCTCCCTTTGGGCTTTAAGTCCAAGTGCCTTCTGATCTGCTCAGGTTTGCCTTGGTTTTACTAGTTGTAACCCTAAAACCCATCTGTTTAATACACCCTTTAAACAGAATACACCCTTTCTCTGTCTTCATTGTTGGATTTTTTATTTGCATCTCTTGGATTCCACCAAGACGATCCTTTTTTTTTTCTATATTTGGTGGTGCCTCTTTTTTTTTTTTTTTTTTTTATAATTTATTTATTTATTGAATCACTGTGGGAAAAGTTACAGAGCTTTCGGGTTTAGGTCTCAGTCATGTAGATACCGAACACATTTCCCTTTACCAATACTCATTTTTAACCCCGAACCCCAATAGACCCCCACCTCCCACCCCTCCCAATTCTTTGTGAGGCAGATGAGTTCTAGTTAATACTCTATCTACTTTGACTAGATAGATTATTTCGATAGAAGATGCACAATTATTGTTTAGAGTTTACGACCCCCCCCCCCCAATCAGACATGCTGAAACAGCGTTGTGAAATGATTTGCTTTCTACAACTTGGTTTAAGAATAAAATGATGTCGCGCGGCCGCAATAGCGGCCGCGCGGTTTTGAATTTCTGCTACTTTACTTATTGACCCTGGAAGAATTTCTATTAAAAGTTAGCTAGTTAAGAGATTGGTTTCTGTGCCCTGGAGTCGTGGCCGTGCCGGAGAGCCGCTCGTGGGGGGCAGCTGGCGACCTCGGTGGGGCGTGGGGGACGGCCCACAAAGCCCCCCTTCCCATGAGGTCCCCGCCGCTCCCCCGAGTCCGGCTCAAACCCGCTTTCCACAAGGCTCCCGTGCGGCCGCCATCTTTCTTTCCAGAGAGGAGCGGGCGGCCGGTCAACGCCCTTCCCCCTCCGGGCAGGCTTGGTGGCGCGGATCAACACAAGTCCATTTGCTTTTCTGCTCCAAGCGGCTGGTTCTCTGTGCTAAGTCCTTGTGCCTCCGGGGCCGTGGCCATGCCGGAGAGCCACTCGTGGGGGGCAGCTGGCGACCTCGGTGGGGCGTGGGGGACGGCCCACAAAGCCCCCCTTCCCATGAGGTCCCCGCCGCTCCCCCGAGCACGGCTCAAACCCGCTTTCCACAAGGCTCCGGTGCGGCCGCCATCTTTCTTTCCAGAGAGGAGCGGGCGGGCCGGTCAACGCCCTTCCCCCTCCGGGCAGGCTTGGTGGCGCGCCCTTCCCCCTCCGGGCAGGCTTGGTGGCGCGGATCAACACAAGTCCATTTGCTTTTCTGCTCCAAGCGGCTGGTTCTCTGTGCTAAGTCCTTGTGCCTCCGGGGCCGTGGCCATGCCGGAGAGCCGCTCGTGGGGGGCAGCTGGCGACCTCGGTGGGGCGTGGGGGACGGCCCACAAAGCCCCCCTTCCCATGAGGTCCCCGCCGCTCCCCCGAGTCCGGCTCAAACCCGCTTTCCACAAGGCTCCCGTGCGGCCGCCATCTTTCTTTCCAGAGAGGAGCGGGCGGGTGGTGCCTCTTTAACCCAGGTCGTCAAACATGGACGCCAAAGGCTCTGCTACTGAGCTCTGTCCCTGGGAAAATAATGCATTATCAAGACTCAAGATAATTTTTTCCCCTCTCCTTGTGGTACCAGTGATCAAATCCAGGATCTCACATACACAAGGCAAGAGAGCTAATAATCAGTTACACCCAACCTGGCCCACCCGAGTTTGATTCCTCCACCTCTCTTGGAGAGCCCGGCAAGCTACCGAGAGTATCTCACCTGCATGGCAAAGCCTGGCAAGCTACCTGTGACATATTTGATATGCCAGACACAGTAACAACAAGTCTCACCATGGAGGTGTTACTGGGCCTACTTGAAGAAATCCTTGAACAACCGGAGGACAGTGCTACAGTGTTCCCCTGGCCTTGAGTGTAGCCAAAATGAGAGTAAAAAGCAGCTCATGTGGAAGATGGGAGTAACACTTTATTGAGCACTTGAATGTCTAAAAATCACTTTGCCCTGAGGTGTGATTGATAATTTCTTAGGTACATAATGCTGTCCTGTCAGTACTCTATAATCACTCCAGATTCTATGGCAATACTTTTCTATATTGAATGTAAAGGGTTTTGCTTATCACTTCCTACAGCTGTGTATTTTTTTTTTTTTCAAGAAAAAATGTTTCGTCCATGTCTGCTCATCTATGTGATATCTGTCTGGAAGCTGGTAGAGTCTTTATTATTCCTGATGCCTTCTTGTTTTTCATGATGATGTATTGATGTATTTTCATTTATCGTATTTCTCTTTAAAGAAAAGTACTCCAAACTTTTCTTTCCGGGGAGCGGGAAATTGGGCACCCCTGGTTCTGCTCGGGGCTTACTTAAGCATATGCGTTGTCTGGGATTGAGCTTGATGGGCTAGTGCAAGGCACACACCTACCTGATATACTGTTTCTCTGGTCCTAGACTTTTCTTAAAGAAAATATCCTCTTATGTAAAATCCCTTATTCTTTTTTAAAATTGTGTGTGTGTGTGTGTGTGTGTGTTTTGGTTTTGGGTCACATCAGGCAGTGCTCAGGAGTTACTCCAGGATCCACTCAGGAATCACTCCTGGCAGTGCTCGGGGGAGCATGTGGGATGGCAGGGACCAAACTACCGCATGCAAGGCAACCGCCTTGTCTGCTGTACTATCACTCTGGCCCCATAAAATCCTTTATTCATAATGAAAATGTCTTGATGCAGAAAAGCTTTATGCCTCTTGTATGACCACCTTATTTTGTGATTTCAGGTGGAGAATATAGTGAAGATGATGTAAATGAATTAGTGAAGGAAGATGAAGTGGACGGTGAAGAACAGACACAAAAAACCAAAGGGAAAAAAAGCAAAGCTCAGAGCATTCCGGCCAGGTGATGCTGCCCTCGGGGCGCTTAGGGGTCAGGGTTGCTCTCCCTGCTGTGCATGTGGTTGTGAATGGGCTGATCACTGGTATCTCACTCCTGGAGTTTCTGGCTTCTTGAGCCTTTGAGGCTGGGGGTTTGGGCCATACCCAACAGTGCTCTGGGGCTATTCCTGGCTTTGTGCTTGTGGGGTCACTCTTGGCTTTCTTCGGGGAGCTTGTAGTACCAATCTCAAAATGCGCTCTCCCTCTTGCAAGGCCTGCTCTGTGCTTGGGATTGCATACGTGGTTCCAGGGGTCAGACGCCTTACTCCCTGTAGTGCTCTCCGACCCCAGCACTATTTTGATTCTAATGGGGGAATGTTAACTATAAGGACTCAGTTCCTCCCTCCAAATTTCCCCTGTCTCCCCACCCTAATCCTCCCCTGCCACATTCTGTTCCACCCCCGTGTATGTATTAATCAGTTAACCCCAGATTTAATGAGGGCTTCAACATTTTGTTGGGAATTGAGGAAGGGATAACTGAAATCGTGTCTGCCTGGTTTTTCTTTTGTTTTCCTTGTGGCCTTTGGTGATTAGAAAGAGAAAACAAGGTGGGCTCTTGCTCGAGGAGGAAGAGGAGGATGCCAATGAGGAATCTGAAGGAAGCAGCAGTGAGGAGGAAGAGACAGCTGAAGAGCAGGAGAAGGGCGTGGGGTCAGAGGATGCAAGAAAGAAGAAGGAGGATGAGCTGTGGGCCAGCTTCCTCAACGATGTCGGGCCCAAACCAAAGGCGACCCCCAGCACACAAGCTCAAGTAAGTTGATAGAGGATTGTGAGGATGTGTCTCCAGAAATGCCCACTGTTTGATTTTTGTTGTTGTTTTGGGGCCACACCCCGCCGTTCTTGCGGGTTACTTGGTGATCAGGGGAGCATGGGTGCCTGGGATGAACCTGGGGCTGCCGTGTGCCAAGCCTGCCGGCCAGCCCGCCAAGCTCTCTCCCTGGCCCTGAGCCTTGGTGTCCACCACTCTCGAGTGGTCACACTCATTGCTGTAGCACAGCCCTATTTAGGCATAGGGCTCTCTGTGTTGTGATAGTCTGAGTCCACGTATGACTGGAAATCGCTTGCATTGGTGGGACTCATGGATAGCAGAGCCGCCAACATTGATTTTGGTGCATGTGGTGGCCCTTGGGATTGAACTTAACTGTGTGCTGCAGGCCAAGGCATTCGAAACCACGGTGCTGTTACTACTTTGGGCCTTAGGTAGATTTTCTTAGAAACTGAGATTTGTATCCCACAGCAGAGGACAGACTAGACGCCCTTTTTTTCCTTTTCTTATACCTGGCAGTACTCAGGGGTTACTTCTGGCTTGGCTTGGGGGACCAAATGGGATGCCAGGGATCGAACCAGGGTCAGCTGTATATGGGGCATAAGCCTTACTCACTGTACTCTCTCCAGCTACCAGACTAGATGGTTTTTGATAATAACTTTACCAAATAAAAAACAACGTATTCTCTATGGTGAGAGAAGCAAGTTTTTATGACTAAATTAGATCTTTAACTGTTCGGAGATGCAGTATTTAGAAATGGTCTTTGGCACCAGAGGGAAAGTGAGCATGTGGGGCACTTGCTTTGGTTTGTTTGTTTGTTTTTGCTTTTTGGGTCACACCCAGCGATATTCATGAGTTACTCTTGGCTCTGCACTCAGGAACCTCACTCCTGGAGGACCATATGGGATGCCAGGGATCGAACCTGGGTCGGCCTCATGCAAGGCAAACACCCTGCTCGCTGTACTATTGCTCTGGCCCCAAGGGGGCACTTATTTTATATGGAACTGGTCAGGGTTCCATCCCTGGCACCACATACGGTCTCCCAAGCTCTGTCAGTTATGATTCCTGAGCACAGACCCAGGAGAAAACCCTGAGTATTGGTTGGTTTATCCTCCATCCCTACCCCACCCCAAATACCTCAAACACTGGTGGTTTGGTACTTTTTAGTGGATGGGGAAGGGACGGGCATGGAGGATAAAGGGTTTATTCTACAGATGACACAGAACTACCAGTGCCTCCTCCGGTTTGACGGAGCCCTGCAGAAGAGGGCTCAGCCTGAGCAGCCCCGGCAGCCGTAGTGCATGCACTCAATGATCTGGCCCACTTCCAGCTTGCTTTTGGGGACTCGACTGATGCAGTTGGTCCCAAAGTTGGTGTCATGGGTCTGGATTCAGCGCAGGCACAACAAGCTCTCATAACCCTGTTCTTGTCCGCGTAGCCTTCCGCAGTGCAATATTCACACAGCTCTCAGTTTATGACTTTCTGCTTATTAGAAGAGGTCGAAAATATAGCGGGTTTTCTGGTGGTGGATCCTGAAGATAGGTCAGAGGAATTCCATCTTCCTCTTTCCCTTATAAGGTTCTATTTCGGGTTCTCTCATCTTTTGACCTAATTCATCCAAAGTTGGTTCAGTCGGCTCCCAGCCATCTGGTGGGGCTTTTCAGCTTCTTTTGACTTTAGGCAAGACCTTAGGATCTGGGTCTAGGAGCCCAGCAAGAAGTTTCCTGGTATCCTCAGTCACAGTGCTTAAGGAGTCACTCTGGCAGTGACAGGACCATGTAGTACTGGGGACTGAATATGGGTTGATTGCATGTAAGGCGTGCACCTTATAGGATTCATCTTTATAATTCTTTTTTTTTGTGTGTGTGGGGGGGGGGGCAGGGGAAACAGACCTGGCGGTGCTCAGGGGTTATTCCTGGTTCTATACTCAAGAATTACTCCTGGCAATGCTCAGGAGAGTATATGTGGTGCCAGGGACAGAACCCTGGTCGGCTGCATGCAAGGTAGTTTCCTTACCCACTGTACTGTCTCTCTGGCCCAAAGTGTAACTTCTTGGTTTTGTTTTTGTTGGGGAGGTGGGGGAGCACACCAGGCAGTGCTCAGGGCTTAATCCTGGCAGAGCCGGGGGCAGGGGTGGACCACGTGGGTTGCTGAAAGGTGGAACCTGCATCAGCTGCGTGTAAGTCAAGTGCCTACCTGCTGTGTTATCACTTAGGCCTCTGATTCTTTCTTTTTTTTTTTTTTTAATTTATTTATTTATTTATTGAATCACCATGGGAAAGGTTACAAAGCTTTCAGGTTTAGGTCTCAGTCATGCAAATATCAAGCACATTTCCCTTTACCAAAACTTATTTTTTACCATGAAGAACCCCAATAAAACCCCACCCCCCACCCCTCCCAGTCCCTGTGGGGCAGATGAATTCTAGTTAACACTCTATCTGCTTTGATTAGATTCATTGTTTCAATAAAAGATTCACCACTATTATTTAGAGTTTACCCCCCCCCCCCCAAATCAGACATGCTGAAAAAGCATTGTGAAGTGATTTGCTTTCTACAGCTGGGTTCAAGAATTATATGTTGGTTTTGGATTTCTGCTATTTTACTTATTGACCCTGGAAGTATTTCTACTGAAAGTCAGATAGTTAAGAAATTGGTTTCTGTGCTCTGGAGTCGTGGCCGTGCTGGAGAGCCGCTAGTGGGGGGCAACTGGTGGCCTCGGTAGGGCGTGAAGGGCGGACCGAAACGCCCCCCTTCCCATGAGGTTTTAGTCGCCCCCAGTCCCCTGGCTCATACCTGCCGTCCACAAGGCTCCCATGTGGCCGCCATCTTTCTTTCCAGAGAGGAGAAGGCGACTGGGGCAACACCCTTTCCCCTCCGGACAGACCTGATGGCCTGGATTAACGCATAGTCCGTTCACTTTTCTGCTCCAAGCTGCCGGGTTCTGCATTAAGTCCTTGTGCTTCTGGGGCCGTGGCCGTGCTGGGGAGCCGCTCGCGGGGGGCAACTGGTGACCTCGTTAGGGCGTGAAGGACGGACCGGAACGCCCCCCTTCCCATGAGGTTTTAGTCGCCCCCACTCCCCCGGCTCATACCTGCTGCCATGTCCACAAGGCTCCCATGCAGCCGCCATCCTTCTTCCCAGAGAAGAGAGGGCGAATGGGGCAACACCCTTTCTCCTCCGGCAGACTTGATGGCCTGGATTAACGCATGGTCCGTTCACTTTTCTGCTCCAAGCTTCCAGGTTCTGCATTAAGTCCTTGTGCTTTTGGGGCCGTGGCCGTGCTGGAGAGCCGCTCGTGGGGGGCAACTGGTGACCTCGTTAGGGCGTGAAGGACGGACCGGAACGCCCCCCTTCCCGTGAGGTTTTAGTTGCCCCCACACCCCCAGCTCATACCTGCTATCCACAAGGCTCCCATATGGCCGCCATCTTTCTTTCCAGAGGGAGGAGGGTGGAAGGGACCAACACCCTTTCCCCTCCGGGCAGACATGATGGCCTGGATTAACGCATAGTCCGTTCACTTTTCTGCTCCAAGCTGCTGGGTTCTGCATTAAGTCCTTGTGCTTCTGGGGCCGTGGCCGTGCTGGAGAGCCGCTCGTGGGGGGCAACTGGTGACCTCGTTAGGGCGTGAAGGACGGACCGGAACGTCCCCTTTCCCATGAGGTTTTAGTCGCCCCCACACCCCCGGCTCATACCTGCTGTCCTCAAGGCTCCCATGTGGCCGCCATCTTACTTTCCAGAGGAGAGGGCGAATGGGGCAACACCCTTTCCCCTCCGGACAGTCATGATGGCCTGGATTAACGCATAGCCCGTTCACTTTTCTGCTCCAAGCTGCTGGGTTCTGCATTAAGTCCTTGTGTTTCTGGGGCTGTGGCCGTGCTCCAAACTTAACTATGATTTTCAGAGAGAAACGTTGGGTGGTTTACTTCCCATGGATCACTTTGTATATAGAGAGATGTCGCGCGACCGCTCATGCGGCCGCGCGGTTTTGACAAAAAGTCCTAGTTCCCGCATACTCGAGCTGTGTTTGTAGAGGCTTCTGGTCACCGGGGTTCCATCTGGGGGAGGTGGGATGCAGTACCTACCCCATCTGGGGCTTCCCAATGATCTCGGCTCTTTTTGGAACCTGTTTTTTTTTTTTTTTTCCCCTTCGGGATCTGTGGATCCCGCCCTCCATGTTGTCCTTCTCTTCGGCTGAATGCTGTAAATATCTCTGATTCTTTCTTATAGAGAGAAAATGAGACTGAAGAGACAAGTTCAAGCAAATTGTTGGTCAAAGCAGAAGACGTAGAGAAACCTAAAGAAACAGAAAAGGTTAAAATCACCAAGGTGTTTGATTTTGCTGGGGAAGAAGTGAGGTAAGATGGCTTCTGCAAGATTTGATACTAGTTCTTCAAGAAAATAGAGTCTTGTTCTGGAGTATTTTTCCCTGAATGGTTCTGCGCTTTGTGTCCTCATCCCAGCCTATAATTTTACAATATTATACTTGAGCTTGAGGAATACATCGGCCCAGTGAATTATCAGGGAACATGAGAAAGTCCTTTCCCACGGTAATGTAGTTGAGACTACGATGAAGTGATTAGCCGAAGAGAAACTCGTGAGTATAAGACGGAGTATTTGCTTCAACTCATTACCATGCTTTCTGCTTACCTTCACCAGAAAGTGTGAATGCTGTTGAAACCTCTGAAGTCAAGTAAGAATCGAAGGCCTGGACTGGAGAGAGTACAGAGGTTAAGGGGCTTGCCCTGCACACAGCCGACCCTGCTTCAATCCCGAGCACCACTAGGACTGATCCTTTGAGCACGGCCCAGAGTTGCCCCCAAAAAACCCTAAAATTTTCAGAAAAGAGTTAAAAAGTATTAGGATATTTCACGGGACCAGAGAGATAGTACAGAAATTTGGGTGCTTGTTTTGCATGCAGCCTACCCGGGTTTGATCTCCGTATCCCGTATAGACCCCTGAACTCACCAACTTTGATATCTCGAGCACAGAGATGGGAATAAGCCCCAAGCACTGTGGTTTTTGAGCACTATCCCAAAACGAAAGAAAGAAACCAAATGTAAATAGAGTTCGGGCCATGAGCTTGGTTAGGTTGTGTGCTTTGTATGTGCCTGGCCTGGTTTTGAGTCCTGACGCCGCATGGTCTCCCAGGCATCCGGGATACAGTGCCAGAGACACTTAGCACAATTGTAGTGTCCTGGGCCTCTGGTTGGCTGAGAATTGTCCCTGGTGCTCCTGAGGTCTCCAGAGCACTGCTTGGGTGTCATTCCCCTACCCAAAATACCAGTACATCATCTTTACATTATTCATGGTTTCATTATTATTAGTCTTTTGGTTTGGGGGCCACACCTGATGATTCTTCTTTGCACTCAGGAATCACTCCTGGCGGTGCTCGGAGACCATATTGGAGGCCAGGGATCGAACCTGTGTCAGCCGTGTGCAGGCAAGCGCCTTAGCTGCTGTACTATTGCTCCAGGCCCCCATGATTTTTATTACTACACTAAGAACAGTGTTTTGAAACAGTTTTTTGGTAGCAAGGTTATTTTGTTGAAGGAAGCAGTTTGTGTCTTAGCTTAAACTTTTTAATATGTTTTGTAGCTGCATCATTGGAAATACTACTGCAGTATTTAATCACATTTGTTGTGTGATACTATACAGATCAATGTCAGTTATGTTTATCATCAAGAAACTGACCCAGGTGTTGCCCTCTTGTTGAAGTCACTCATATACAAAAATATTACATTAGCAATATTTGGCATTCTTCCAGCTGCCTTAAACAAGCTTCGGTACTGTACTATAGTTTCCATGGTCTTAAGCCTGATCCTGAATTCTTCAAGTTGAATATACTTAACCACTCTCTGTGGAATAAATTTTCCAGTATATTCCAGTGGAATTCTTTGATACAGTCTTTTATTTATGCCTTGTCAGGGTTTTGTTTTGTTATAAATCATAAATACCGGGGTCAGAGATAATACAGAGGTGTCCGAGATAGTATAGGGGTTAGGCACCTGCCTTTCATGTGATCAACGACCACTGCCGGGAGTAACCCCTGAGTATTGCTAAGTGCAGCCCCAGCCCCCTAAAGAAAAAGGAAAACAAAAGTTCTGCTTTTTCTGCATTCTAAGGCCACAGTGCACTAAATTTAGTATGTGGGGTTTTTGTCTTTAAGTTTAGTATTACTCTTTCAAGGAGTTCTTCTGATGTTGAACTTAAGTTGTTTTATGTATAATTACCACCAGAGTTTGAGGAATTCATTACTTTGTTCATCTAGACATCTGCAGACAACTTGCTGTTTTTAGCACTGCATGACCCAAAATGAAACCAGGTCCTGAGGAATCAGAATGAAGGCTGTTAACCTGAGTTGGCCTTTGTTTCTTTGGAATCACTTCTGTTATGCTGTGGTTTGCTACTGCTGCTGCATTTGGAAAAGATTTTCTGGACTGGAGAGATAGTACAGCAGGTAAGGTGCTTGCCTTGCATGTGACTGACCAGGGTTCAATCTCCGGCCTCCCAAGCCTGCCAGGAATGATCCCTTACTACCCTGGATATGGTTTCAAGCTCTCTCCCCTGCCCCCTCCCTCCAAAAAAGAAAAGATTGGGGGTTTTTCTGCTTGCAGGTTACACTTGGTGATGTTCAGAGTTTACTCCTGACTCTGACCTCAGAAATTACTCCTAAATTACCTCTGTGCTGTGCTCGGGGGACCATAGGGGATACTGGGGACTCAGATCAGCCACATGCAAGGCAAGCACCCCACCCGCTGTACTGTCTTTCTTGCCCTTAAATTGTTTGCTAGTTTTAAGCTGTATATTTTCAGTCTCACTTGTTTAACAAAAATGACCATTTAAAAAAATTATAAAGATAGATGCTTATATTTGGTACATTTGATCACATTTGGTCCAGTATTTAGTTCAGTACTCAAGCTGAGATTATACTCTGCTCTTAGTTTTAATCTCCTTAAAATTAGAATTATATTTTTGTTTCAGGGGTTTCTTTTGGGGGGTGTTGGTGCTCAGGAATCATTTTGGGTAGCATTTGGGGGACTGTGTGTGATTTCAGGGATTGAACCTGCGATGGTCTCATGTAAGACAAGTGCCATAACCTCTGTACCTTCTCTCCAGCTTCTTGAATTTTTTTTTAGCCTTTTAAATAATTCCTTGATATATGTATATTTTTGAATTCATTTGCATCTCAGAAAGTTCCTCAGTTTGGATTATAGCTTTGTTTCTTCATGATTAGCTACATACTAATCACTTTAGACAACTCTGGTACATAGATAATACTTTGTCTTCCTTGGTGCTTCCTATCAATAACGCTGTTAGTGGTGATTAAACTTAGGCAGTCTGTAGATCTCCAGGCTGAGTGCATGCTTTGCCTGGAGGAGGCCCAGTTACATCCTCAAGCACTTCATTGTTCCTCTGACCACCACTGGGAGTGACCCCCAAGCAGTTAGCAGTAGAGTACTGCCAGGGATAGCCCAGATCCGAAAAATTGGGACCAGAGAGATAGTACAGCAGGTAAGGAACTTGCCGACTAACTTGGGTTCGATCCCTAGCACCTTATGTGGTTCCCTGAGCATAGAGCCAGGAGTAAGCCCTGAGCATAGCTGGATATGGCCTCCACCCCCCACCCCACCCCCAAATACAATTGTAATTGGTTATCTTGGTGTTTTGTTAAATACCTTTTTTTTTTTTTAATGTAGGAGTACTGCTATTTATTTAGCTACTGATTAGCTAATTGAATTGGGCGTGAACTCCACTAAATACTTCTTTATAATGTGAATTAGTTACATGATTTTGTCGTTTTCTCCCAAGCCTACTCCAGGGGTTACTCCCAGCAGTAATTTGGGATCCTTGAGATCTTAGGGATCCAGGTTGGCTTAACACATACAGAGTCCTCAGCCTGGCGAACTGTATCTCTGGCCCCTTGGTTATATATTTAGCACTACCAGAAATGACATTATAAACTACTAAATTGTTCATTAAAGGGCAGCAGAACACGGATGGCATATCTTTCATAGTTTAGAAATTCTAGGCTACAGTACTGCACTGCACTGTCCTCCCATTGTTCATCAAAAATATCAAAAATACGCTAATAGGAACTGCCAGGGAGGTCACACCTGGCAGTGTCCTGGGGCCGTTCTACGATACTTAGGGGATGTTTTGCGGGGGATCAAATCAGGGTTGGCTGTGTGCAAGGCAGATGCCTTCACTCTGGTGCTGTCTTTCTAGCCCTAATGTTTAAAATTAAGTCTGCCTTTGTTTGCATCATTTCCCATATATATAAAAGATGTTTTATAAGTTTGGCACTCTTGCTACAGAAAAAGGTAAACTAATTTACTTCCCATAAAAGCAGCGGGAAATCATATTTTCAGGTAAAGTTAAATTAGTGAACTTACTGCTGTTATTAACACAATTGGCTGAACAACTAAACAGTTTCTCTTTTTTATTTTCTCCCCTTCGTTATTGTTTCATGACTGGGGTGGGGTTTTCGCACACTTTCGGCTGTGCTGCTTGCCAAGGGTTTGCATTTCCCTTGCAATACTCTCATCTGAGCTGGCTGTCGCTTGTCCTCTGGCTGTGGGACTCTCACATCAAGAGTTGTCACAGGACAGCGCACTCTAGAGGCTTTGGAGGCTCCAGAACTCAGAGCCCAGAGACTGGTGCTGTGGGTGGGGGCACCAGGGATTAGCTGGGGCCGCCCCCTGCCTTTGAACTATCATTCAAGCCCTCCTTTGCACTTGTAAAAGCTTTGGAAAGGAAAGCGGTGGCCAGCCACCTAGTGGTGCTCAGGGCTTACTCCTGGAGGACTGGGGGAGCCATAGGGAGTGGCAGGCATCAACCCCGGGTTGGCGGCATGCATGCAAGGCAAAAGCCCTGCCCACTGTACAGCCTATATTGTTGTCTCTAAGCCAAGGGACTGGAAAATAACTGGATGAGTATTCTTGGAGCCTGAAATTCCTATCATTTGTCACAAGAGGGCAGCATCGATTCTCTAATGCAAATACAAGTGGCCAAACACCATTTATTCCCTATTTTGTATTCAGATTTGCTCGAATGGGCCCAGTAACGTCTCCATTGGAGACTTTGTTGTTACTGTGTCTGGCATATCGAATACTCTCGGTAGCTTGCCGGGCTCTCCGAGAGGGGCGGAGGAATCGAACTCGGGTCGGCCATGTTGGCCGCTTGTAAGGCGAACGCCCTACCCGCTGTGCTATCGCTCCAGAGTGGGCTGGAGTGATAGCACAGCGGGTAGGGCGTCTGCCTTGCACGCAGCCAAACATGGCTGACCCGAGTTCGATTCCTCCGCCCCTCTCGGAGAGCCCGGCAAGCTACCGAGAGTATTCGATATGCCAGACACAGTAACAACAAAGTCTCCAATGGAGACGTTACTGGGCCCGCTCGAGCAAATCGATGATCAACGGGAGGGCCTTTACTTTTACTTTATTTGTATTCAGAAGTAAGATATGCTTATAACTTTTCAAAAAAATACATTGCAGAGTTCTCTTAACAGGACAAACAGAAGTTCTCTAGAATGCCTTTCTCCTAAGGAAAATTGAAAATGGTTGATGTCTGACTTAATTTCTTTGTACTTACTGGTGGTTCTTGGGGGATGATTATGTAGTGCTTGGGATCAAGCCCAGGGTGACTCCGTGTGAGTCAGCGTCCTACTCACTGTAGTATCTCCCGAGCTCCGTCAGGGAGAACTGACTTTTGGTGAACCATCAGTGTGTGAATTGAAAATATTTTTAATCTTTTGATGTCATTCTGTTGTTGTTTTTTCCTTTCTTTTTCCCCATCAAGTTATGAGCATTACTACATCTTTAAGAAATGTGAGAAGGATGGGCCAGAGCTAGTACAGCGGGTAGGACGCTTACCTTGAATGCAACCTACCCAGGCTTTAATATAGACCCTGAGCACTGGCAGGAGTGATTCCAGAGTGCCAGGCCAGGAGGAACCAGTGAGCACCGCGGGATGTAGCCCCCAAACAAAAAAACACTGATTAAAAAGCATGAGAAGCGATACTGATGACTGGGATGAATTTGTAATTTGTAAATATAAGCATAAGATAATGTTAACATGAAGTCTTTGTGATTTCTCTTTTTGTTTGTTTTGGAGTCACCCTGGCACTGTATGGGGATCACTGCTGGGGGTCTTAGGGGCCAGGTGTGGTTCTAGGGATCAAATTTCTGTCCACTGTGTGCAGGACAAGGCCTCACCGGCTGTGCCATCACACCAGAGCCCGATTTTCTAAGTGTTGAAAGACTTTATTTCTGGGCTGGAGTACAGTGGGGAGGGTGTTTGCCTTGCATGTGGGTGCTCTGGGTTCACCCCCCAGCATCCAGTATAGTCCCCCGAGCCCTCCAGAAGTGGTCTCTGAGTGCAGAGCCAGGAGTAAGCCCTGAACACTGCCAGGTGTGGCCCAGAAACAAAAGCAAACCAAACAAGAAGGACCTTAATGCTTTATTTGTTTCTTCACTGAAAAATATGTGGCCTAATAGTCTTGGGGGAATGAGGAAAAAAAAAAGTTTTTTTCTTCTTCATTGTCACATAACCAGTCGAGTCAGTTAGCTCAACCTTTCCTAAATGGAAAAGACCAGTCATGGAAATTTTGTGGCTAAATAAAGATTTCTCAGGAAGTTTTGAGTAAGTGAAAATGAAGTTAAAATGATAATACTTGGATTGTTATTAATAGTGGACCTTTTTCTGCAAAGGCCCCCACTTGGTATAGAGGAAGTAAAGTATAATAATCAGTTCTGTTTGAAGATTTTAATTGAATCACCATGAGATACACGGTTACAAAGTTGTTCATGATTAGGTTTTAGTCACACATTGTTCCAATTCCCAACCTTTACTTTTAATAGCTAGATTTTTTTCTTGCTGTTCATTAAAAGTAGAGTTCAGGGGTCACTCCTAGCGGGGCTCGGGGGACCGTATTGGGTGCCAGGGATTGATACTGGGTTGGCCGTATAAAAAGCAGATGCCCTCCCTGCTATATTATCACTCCAGCCCCTAGTGGGTGATAGTTAAGGTGACAGGTGAGATGGCACTTACAAGAAAATTGGTTTCATCCAAGCACAAAAATCTGTAAGTCTACAACTGTACCTCATGGTGTCTCACTAATAAAGCACTTACAAGAAAATTGATTTCATCCAAGCACAAAAATCTGTAAGTCTACAACTGTACCTCATGGTGTCTCTCTAATAAAAATTAAAAAAAAAAAATTGGTTTCAGGGCTAGAGAGATGTTACAGAAGGAAGGCACTTTCCTTGCATGTGGCTAACTTGGGTTTGGTCCCCGACACCACATGTGGTCATCCTGTCCTCCTGGCTATCCCCACAGCCAGACCGAAGTAAGTGCTAAGCACAGCCAGGTGTGACCCTCACTCACCCTGCCAACACACACGCAAAATTCTCTAGGCATAGGAGATGGTTGAAAGAGCTGGAGCACTTAATGGTCCCCTAAGCACAGGACCACGAGTAAGCTCTGAGCATTACTAGCTGTGGCCCAGAAACTACACACATGTGCACCATGGCATTTGTAATATTCACCTATCATTTTTTTTTTTGCCATTTTTACTGTTTTTTTGTTGTTCAGTCACCAGTTGATTGTGCACTTGGGGAATCACTCCTAGCAGGGCTCAGGGCACAATATATGGTGTCAAGGATTTCACCAACCTAGTTGGCTGCATGTAAGACAAGTGAATCATTTATTTGTTTTGTTTTTGGAGCACACCTGTTGGTGCTCAAGGCTTTTCTTCTGTCAGGCTTGGGAGACCATATGTGGTGCTGGGGATGGAACTCAGTTCGACCGCGTGCGAGGCAAGGGCCCTACCCGCTGTCCTATGACTCCTGCCCTTGGAATTTAAACAAGATTCCTTATATGTTGTTGATTTACAAGCCTAGACAAGCATTAGGCAATCTCTTCTCTTTATCTGAATTTTCAGACACCATCCGTTTTCTTACTAGATTTGTTAGGATCAGTTTTTGGTAGTCTTTCCAGGTTTGAAACGGGATAATTCTCAGTCATGTATATATATTTTTTCTTTTTTAAATTGAGGCACCGTGATTTACAGTACTGTTATTGATAGGGTCTCTGGTCATACAGCTTTCCTGCTCCCACTTTAATGCCATTTTATCTCATTTCAAGGAGCTATGTTTCATTTTTGGTTTGTCTAACTGAGGATATAAACAGGAGCTCTCTGCAAAGTATTTCCAGTTGTTTATGTGTGTTGTTTCTCCCCTTGAAATAGTGGTCGTGTTTTTCCTTCAGATATTCCCTCTCCCATTCCCACTTTTGGATCTTTGTGGGGTACAGAGGGAGAACCTCTTTTAGCCTTCCTGCTGGCCACCAGAAGTGGGCTGTGCTTCAGCCGCGTGTTCCAGAGAGCATTTCATTGTGACTGAGTAGGGGACAGGAGTTCAGAAAGCGGGATTTTACAGTTCATTGTTGTGGTTGAGTTTTTTGTTAATTTCTTTTTGGTTTGGGGCCATACCTGACAGTACTCAGGGGTTACTCCTGGCGGGCCCTGGGAACCAAATGGGATGTTGAGGATCAGGTTTCTTTAGGCCAAAGCAAGGCAAGCACCTTACCTCTTTGCTATCACTCCAGCCCATACATTCACTCTGTAAGGGAAGTGTCTGTCCTGAACTCCTGTGGTCCATTTTAATCGTAAAACTTTGCAGCCAGAATCTGAAGAAAGCACAGCGATTCTTACTACCATTTCTTCCCTTTTCTTGGATCTTATTTCTCTCTTTTCATTCCTTGACATGTCTCCTTCCTTGGCACAGGGTGACGAAGGAAGTGGATGCTACTTCCAAAGAAGCCAAGTCCTTCTTCAAGCAAAATGAGAAAGAAAAGCCACAGGCTGCTGTCCCTTCAGCCCTGCCGCAGCTGCCCGCTGGGTCAGGGTGAGTAAGCTTCAGGTCCTGGCGCGTCGGCCCAGGGAGAACCTGTCGCAGTCCGAGATGCTCTGCCCTGCTGCCGTTCGTGAATATTTGCCCAAGTGGAAGCTGAAAAGGAAAACTAGCCATAGGTTTGAATTTTGATTCTAGCCTGAAGCAAATCTTGGTTTGCATTGTTGACCACGGATCTCTATTTGTAGTCGTCTCTATATTTAAAAAATACTTTTTGAACGTGAACATCAGCAGTTTATCAGAACTTCTAATGCGATTTGGACTGAGTACTCCCACCTGCAGTGACCTCAGGATCATAAAAAGGTGAAAGCTGATTTACGAACACTTCTTTTTTTTTTATTTTTTAATTTTATAAAGTGGTTCACAATATTTGATTACAGTAAATATTGAAACACCAATTTTACCACCATTACACCTTCCCATCACCAAATTTGGGATGTTTCCATCCCAAGCCCCAAGCCCTGTCCTTAAGCACAACCGAAATAATATATTTTGTATTGTCTGTTATGGAAAACCGTCTTATGATGTGTCACGCAGCTGCAAATGCAGCCGCGTGGTCCAGGAATATGTTTACTCATACTGTGAGGCTCGGCCCGAGCGTGTGGGGTTCAGAACGGCCTTGACCGTGACGGCAATTGTGTTCTGGAGGTTTTCGGCTACGGGGCTGGGTCGCTTGGTGCCGGGAGGGCTCTCACCCGTCCCCCTCTGGGGTGCCCTGAGTGAAACATCCTGTCACTGAGTCCAGGGGCATGGCTATGGCGGGCGCCATGTTGCTCCCTTCTGGGAGAAAAAGCTATGTGATCTGGATGGTGGCTGTTGAGGAGATTATCTGGTGATGGCAGGAGATGGCTTATGGGTGTGACCTCTGGGCAGGGAAGGGCAGAGAATCTCTATTCCTGGTCCTGTAGAGTCCAAGGGCACAAAGTTCTGCATTACCTGGGTTTTGTCGGACTTCACTCATGCGTGAGGCTCGGTATGCGCGTGTGGGGACCGGCAGTGAGCATGGCAGCAGTTGGATTCTGTAGGCTTGCAGCTACCGGGTCCCTTGAGGCAGGGAGGGAGGGCTCTCACCTGCGGGGGGGGGAGGGAGGGGGCTCTCTCCCCCCTCCGCCCTCCCCTCCCCCCCGACGGCTGCAAACACTTCTAACATCTTACTGGGACCTAAGCAGTCACCCTTTCTGTATTATTTGAATTATTATTTTTAGGTGAAAACTAGAGTTCCTTTTCTTTTAAGGAAATAAAAATTTCTTTGCTTGTTCCTATGAGACTGGAGAGTTAGTGCAGCCGGTAAGGCACTTGCCTGGCGAGCAGCAGGCTTGGGTTTGATCCCAAGCACCCCATATGGTTTTCTAAGCTCTGCCAGGAGTGAGCCCCCAAGTGCGAGAGCTGAGAGTAAACCCTGAGCATTGCTGGCTATGGCCCCCCCACCACACACACACAAAAAAGTTGTTTTTTTTTTTCTGCCATAAAAATGATCTCTGGGTAATTACAAGATGGAAATAAAAGCAAGATTTACTCTATCTTAGGTTTCTGGCATATTTAGTTTGAGCCAGTACAAATTCTGCTTCTGTTCTCCATGGGTATTTCTTCTTAAAATAATCCCTTATTGATTCTTAGAGATATTATTTGGAAACAAAAAATCCTATTTCTGTAATTATGAAACAGAGCAAGGAAAAGTGCCAGCTTCACAAGGTCCTTAAGGTCATTAGAAATCTCAGTGTATGTTCTGCGTCCACGCTTTCTTTTCGTATGAAGAACCAAACCCAGTATCTGTATCAGGGAGATCCCGCAGGAGGTACACAGCGGTCTCAAGGCAGGCCCTTTGAGGAGAGTCTGATTCCTCAGAGTGATGGGAAATACAGCCCAGCGTCGGGTTCCTGGCGCTGGACCCCTGGGTCCCTGGAGCTAGGTGAGAGGGCTCTGGAATGGGCCTCCAGACAGCAGTTGAGACTGTCTCTTGAGCAATGGACCCTCCCCGGGTCCAGCCAGGGGAATAAACACACAGATTTCTCTTCCTCCTCTGCCCTTCTCTCGCCGTTATCCTCCATTGACCACTAAGGCGTGCAGGCGAAAAGACGCCTGTCCCTTGTTAAAACTGTGAAGAGTACTGGAATAGACTGTTGCAGTGGAAGAGACAGATTTGGCTCTACTCTAGATGCAGAAAGGAAAAAATAATGCTAGGAAGGGGTTGGAGAGATAGTACAGTGGGTAAGGCATTTGCCTTGTGTGTGGCAACCAGCTTCAATTCCCGACACCACCTGTGGTCGCCTGAGCACTGCTAGTAGCGACCCCTGCACCTAGAACCAGGAGTAAGCCCTGAGCACTGCCATGTGTGGCCTATCACCCCTGCCTGTTTATAGCTAGGGAGCACATTGAAGGGGCAGGGACCTTAGGTTGGAACATCTCTAGGAGAAGACGTCAGGGTTGAGGATCCTTGATAAGTTGGAGTCCTAAGATTTTTGTGGCCAGAGACTTACTCATCAAAGAAAGACAGACATTTGGAATTTTTTCCCCTGTGCACAGGTGATCTGATAACGGGTTGGGGATTTTCTCTAAACTGACACTGAAACGGGTGAGGCGAGGCTGTCCTGGCCTACAGTCAAGGTCGAGACCTAGAATACTCAAAGGAACCAGCTAAGTGGCCATCAGGAAGAGAGCCTTGGCCCAGAAGTGGCTCGGTGGTAGAAATGCTATTCTCTCTGTGAGGCCCTGGCTTGATCCTGCTCTTCCACTGCCATCCCACCTCCTGGAGTGAAGAAGATTCTGTGGGTCTGTTCCTAGCGAAAGGCATCTGGCAGCTTAGAGACGATCCTGTTCAAGTGAATTATCTTTCAGTGGGATTAAAGAACTCAGTCCTTTATAAAGGGCTAAAGTGAAATTTGATCCAAATCAGTTTCTTTGAAAGCTGAGTGTAATGTAGAAGATAACTATATGTTTGTAAAAGGGACTCTGTGTTTGCCGAGTTCTTGAGTTGTATGTGAAAGAGTATCGTAACGTACTTTGAATTTTTGAGCAAACCTAGAAGATCGTCTTTAATTTTAGTCTAATAGTTTATTTGAAATGCAGCCCAAAAGGTTCCTACAGTTGTTGGTGTATTTGGGGAAACGTGACCAAGAGGGATTCGGCTGCTCTGGGATGCCTCAGTGGACATATTTTATCAGTACAAACAGTATCTGCTACCGGCTGTTTGTTCATGGTATGGGAAGTCTTTTCAAAGAAAAATATGCAGGATATCAGTTTATATTCTAGGGAAAGTATTTTAATACTATCAAAAAATTTTGCACATTTTTTGTAGTTGCTTCAGTTTATAGAAATTGTTCAGCAGAAACTCTATTTGTTTATTTTGCTTCTTTCTAAACAGATTTAAGCAATTCAGGAAAATAGAGCAAGAGAGTAAAACATCCTGTCCCACATCCTTTGCTAGCAAATAAGAACAGATTCACAGGAGCAAATGTTTGTAGCTGAAAATGCATTTCCTCTCCATGTTTAAAATAGCGCAGTGCTTAAGCTATAAAAAGCCAGAGTTTGTACTTTGGGAATGGATGAACCAAGCACCCAGTTTTAATTAGAGGCCTGGTTCAGAGATGATAAGAAGCACTCGGTGCATCTGGTAGAAAGCGCAATGCTTAGCCTGATTGTGTAAATTCCTTTAGTTTTGGTTTCTCAGCCCTTGGTCCTCCTCTCACCTGTCGTCACACCCTCTGACATTCACATTCCCCACACGGCTCTCACTCACTACTGCTGGCCACTTGCATCCAAGTTCCACCAGTGTGTGTGTGTGTGTGTAATGGGCCTCTTTGCTTTCCATCCCGCCTTTACTTTCTGTGTTCAGTTCAGCCAACATATACCTTACTTACTCCAGCAGTGGCCTAGGTTGTTTAAAGCTAACAATTAAGTTGCCTCTTAATTGAAAATAATCCACAGAAGTAATGCATAACAGTGGAAAACATCAAAACATTACCATCCAGAGTCTGGAGAGCTGGACAGGGTGGGAGGGCGCTTGCCTTGCATGAGACCGACCGGGTTTGATCTCTGGCTCCCCATGTGGTCCCCGATGAGCCTGCTGAAAGTGATCCCTGAGCTCAGAGCCAGGAGTAAGCCCTCAGTACCACCAGGTCTAGTCCCATCCTCCCTCCCCCCCCCAAAAAAAAAAAAACAGCATGACCACCAAAACCAAAACATTTTCCAGAGTTGTTTTGTTATCTTAGACCTTCAGGTCTCCCCAGAAAAGCCTTTTTGTTAAGACTCAAACCTTACTGACGTGTGTTTGGCAGATAGAAGAGCAGATTGATAGTGCGGATTGCTGTGTCCCCCACAGCTAGAAGAGACAGGCTTTCTTAGCACCATACAGTGAGAGAAGACCCCACGCCACAGCCCAGAAGCAGGAATCTGACTCTGGTTTGTCGGGATTTGCACGCAGGGTCTTGGGGGCCTCGGACGTGTGACACACAACCTTCTCCCCTGAGCTGCATCGCCAGCCACATGACCCTTTTCTGGGTTTTGTTTGGGGGGGTGGTCACACTTAGTGATACTCAGGATTATTCCTGATTATGCACTCAGGATTTTCTCCTGGCAATTCACAGGGCTCTTTATGGGAAGCTGGGGATCGAACCCTGGTCGGCTGTGTGCCATATAAACACTGTATCTGCCGTACTATTGCTCCGACCTCAACAGAATCTTGCTGTTCTGAGCAGCTTATCTGATCTCGCCCAGGCTTCTCAGCAGGAATTCATTGGCTTTTAAGTTTTTTAAATTTTCAGGTTTTTTGATAGAATAGAGCATTCTATCAAATCAAATTCACTTTGACAAAAATCAGTCATAGCCACAATATGGAAGAATCATATTGAAGAATCATAATTTTGCATCGGAATCTTTTAGCATGATAATCATACCTCTGACTTAGGTTGGTTTCTTCTAGAGGCTCTTTTACTTCGAAATGGGTTGCTTTCTTGTTGAGAGAAGCGTTTCAGTAACAGGGAAGGAAGAACACCCCA